TTTACTAATGCCAAAGAGGAACTTGACCTCAGGGCTAAAAAATGGGGAGTAAGTCAGATGGAGTTTTTCTTTATCCTTCACCGTGGCTGAACAGAAGGAAGAGATGCTAGGGAAGTCTGGCGATCTGATGTCCCTAATTGGAAATAAACAAATGAAAGATGACTTTATGAAAGACCTGACAGTACAACTGGCTAACCCCCCAAAACACACCAGGTATGAAATTCCTGACCCAAAGTTTCACTTATTCAGGAAAGTTACTTTGACAGAGTTCCTAAGTCAAGAAAACTCAGGAAAAGAAACAAAACAGTAGGTACTGATGCTGGAAGAGTTGGTAAATAAACCAACCTGGCTCACTGAGACTCTTTAAGCAGACAGCTCTGTAATAGCTGATGAAGTTTCATACTACCCAGGGAACTATGAGAGAGAACAAATTCTGTAAGTGAAATGGGAAGATTTCCAGGTAATATGCAGTTTTCTGTAAAGGTCTCTTAGGAGGAGCCTGGAGCACTTAAGCAGAATGAAGATTCTGACCACCACTGCCACTGGCTAAATGAGAAATTAGGAAGTCCAGCAAAGCAGGCCTGCTAGGCACTGGAGGGTGAGGTCCACTAGTGTCTGGCTAGTGTCTGTCTCCACTAGCCAGAGAGAACTTTGTCTACTGTGGTACTTATTATATTGGGGACTTTTAACAGCAGCACTATTAGCATGATAGAACTGGATTAATCTTGAATTTATCCAGTTCTATCTGCTAGGTCTCTAAATCACATTAAAGAGGTTACAAAATGTACTTGCACATTTTAAATCATTCTCTCATCTTCATTTCCTTTCCCTAAAGGAGAGCAGCCATTTCATAGTAATTTTAGTAATACAACCTGAGTTTAAAGATGCTCAGTTTATTCTGTTTTTGCCCGCTTGATCACCACACTTGACCTCTGTTGGCTACTTTCTGCTCTCAAATGCCCTTATCTCCATAGTACAGCATCAGGAACTTCATTTGTTCAATAAACATGTTGCTGAAAAACTGTAAATTAGAGTTTTTGGAATCCAATTATATTTCCCTACAGTTCTGATTGTTTGAGATACTTTATCTTCAACTGTGATTGATCATCAGTTGGCAGTGATTTTAACTTCAAATTACTCCACTATAAATCAAGTAGTTCCCATTTGTACAAAACATTTCAATGTACTATGAACTCCACTACTGTACAAGAAGGAAGGAGTCCTTCCATATAAGGATTATCCACTGATAATTTTTTTTTTAATTTAGAGTTTAGTATCAGGTACACTGTTATTGTCTTCATACTGATGGTGCCTGGTGACCTAACTTCATCCCAACTTCTTTTCAACATCTTCTTTAAGTCAGGCTTACTGAGATACCATTTACAGAGAATAAATTTGCTCTTCTTAGGGTATGGTTCTGAGTTTTAAAAGGGTATAGTTCTGGGCTTACATACATTGTGAAACTTACATCCTAATCAGAATATAGAACAGTTCTATCACCTTCCAGAATTCCCTCAAGCTCATTTGTAGTCAACCCTTCCCAACTCCTGTTTTCTTTCCCTAGTTTTGGATTTTCCAAAATGTCATATACATGGAAGCATTAGTATGTCGACTTTGGAGATTCCATCTTTCACTTAGAATAATGCATTTGAGATTCATTTGTGTTATATTGGTATTTTGTTCCTCTTATTGCAGAGATTTCAGTGTATCTATGTACCACTATTTGTTTATCCATTCACCTATTAAAGAGCACTTACACTGTTTCCAGTTTTGGGTTATGATAAAAAGTGTCTAGGTTTTTGTGTGAACATGTTTTCATTTCTCTTGGGTAAATATCTAGGAGTGGGACTGCTATATCATATGTTGTGTATATTTGACTTCATAAGAAACTGTTTTCCCGTATCTCTACCATTCTTTATTCCCACCAACATTGTCTAGAAGTTCTAGTTGTTCCACATCTTTGACAACATTTGGAATTATTTTTATTTCAACCAAGAAGTGCTATTTCATTGTGGCTTTGATTTGCACTTCCCTAATGACAAATGATGTCATTTCTTGTGCCATCCATTTATCTTCTATGGTGACAATTCAATTACGCCATTGTTGTAAAAATTGATTTGTCTTCTTATTGTGTTGTAGGAGTTCTTCATATATTCTGGATAGTCATTTCTTAGATATGTGTTTTGCAAATACTTTCTCCAAGTCTGTAGCTTGTCCTTTCATTTTCTTAAGTGTCATTCCAAAGAGCAAAGTTTTTATAAATTAAAACAATTTTTTTCTTATATGGATTTTGCTTTGGGTGTTGTATCTAAGAATTTCTTTTGCCTAACCCAAGGTCACAAAGATTTTCTCTTTTGTTTTCTTGGAAAAGTTTCATAATTTCACATTTAGATTTATGATTTTCAGCTATTTTACATGTGGTGCATGCATTGACATTTCATATGCACTGATAGGTCGAAGTTTTTCTTTCCTTGCAAAACGATGTTCAATTATTCCAGATCATTTGTTTCTTTTCACTATCTTTTGCGAAGATACTATTTAGCAGACACTATATACAGAATTTACAAAAGGGAAGGTACCCTCTAACTTTGGCTGGAGATGGGAGGGCAGTTCTGTTTCTTTAACTAGTAAGAAATGCCTAAGTGGTATGCTTTCCACTCCACAGACATGCATGGTATACGACAGTCCAGAATGAATTATCAATGCTTTTTAGCTACAGATCACCAGAAACACACCTGTGGTTCAACAAGTTGAGTTTATTACTCTCACGGGAGAATATAAACTATGGGAAACTGTTAGCCATCTCAGTAAGAGGGTGTTAGAAAGAACTTATATTAAGATTTGGGTGTTAGGTGATTTGGGGGTCTTTGCTCCAAACTGGCTGCTGTCAGGAAGTAGGGGTTATTCTATGATGGATATCTTAATCTTATGTAGAAAGAGGGGAGACTAGAATGAGGCCAAACTGTAACTGGTAAAGAAGAAACAGCCACTGGGATGAGTTTGATAATTTCAGTTTGTGTATTCCATTTGGTGGCTTGGATAAGGTTCATGTTTTTGTCTGTGTTTAGACATGATTATGCAGTAGTCTTTATTTTTGCCCTAATCCATCATGGTCATGGGATAGTCTTTTCTGATATTAATGTTCTCTGAAAACTGTTTATACTCAATAGGAGACACCCAGGTCTAGCCAGCTCCTAGCAACACCAAGATCTTGCTGATAGCACCAGGCCAGCTACTTGATGTCAGGGACTGCTTTTCTTTTTCTTAGAATACAGTAATGAAGAACTTAGGCTCTGGAATCAGAAAAAAATGTGTTTGATGCCAGGGTCTTCTCTTCACTAGCTGGGCCTTTGGGTAAATTATCTAACTTCTCTATGCCTCAGTCTCCTTATATGAATATGGGAATAATAATGGTATTTGCCTCACTGAATCCTTGGGAGAAATGAGATGATACATGCTAAAAACCTGTATCAAATAAATCTTATTGTATCACAGAAAAGGTTAAGAAAAATATTGGGGAAGAGAAAGGAAACCAAGAACACTCCAGCTAAGTGTGCCAGGAAAATAAGAGTAAAAAAGTGAAGCTAGGAAGGCAAAATAATTTACACTGGGTGGTAATCTATATAAAGTTGTTAACTGTCCAGCTTATTTTGAAATGCCAGGATAATGCATTACATTCATAAAAACAGAGAAACATAGGAAAACGTGTAGACCTTACAAGTGATAGAAACACTGAGTGGTTGACAACTCGGTAACGAAAACGCTTATTGTGCTTATGTTACAAAGTAGATTCATGCCATAGATAGAAGGCTGGATTGGGATCCCTTTCAGCTTCAATGTACGATCAGCCTCTAAATTATCTGTTGCTTTTATGTATTGCAACTTGATTCTTCCTGGCCTTTACTTTTTGAACTACCCCACCGTGTTAAGCATGCACCGTCACATCGAATGTCTCAGAGTGAGTGGGATGTCTCGAGTCACACAGAACTTAGGTCCAGAAATATCCTTATAGCTACACTCTTAACGCCTTCCAGGATGCAGGCAGAGCGTCTGCCGTGGTGGGGACCCGAAGAGGCCACGTGCTAGTCAGCAGGTGACGAGGGAGGGCCTCAAGGCCAGATTTCCTACCTTTCAATTCACTTCTTGCCCTCCCAACACCCTCTCTTGAGCAAATTTCAGGTGCCTGGCGAGCCCGCCACACCGCAGTAAGCGCTGGGCTTTCACCACAGACCGGCGGGGGGGAAGGGGGGCGAGGGGGGGTGTTCTTAATGTCAAGAAACTAAATTTTTCAGGGCAGGGAAGATTTAAAGTAATAATGATAACGATAGCAAAGTGCCTCTCGTCACCCTGTCGCCTGGGCAGTAAAGGCGTGTACAGAGTCCCAAAGTGAAGCGCTGAGATGAGGCCCAGCTCGTCCCTCCCCTGAAAGGAAGTAAAGGAAGAAGGCTGCGGGGACCCTGGGCGAACAGGGAGCCGGTGAAATTGGCGACAGTCCCACCTTCCGCCGGCCGAAGGTTCTGAATTCCGAGCGACCGTTACTCAGCTGTCGCGAGGCTCCGGCGAGCGCGCGGATGCGGCCTGGTGCCTAAGCGCCGCCACCCAGGGCTTCCCGCGGTTCCCAGGGCTCCGCGCCCCTCGCCGGATCTGATTGGACGGAGGAGGAAAGGGGCGGGAGGCCCAGGAGGAGGTGTCGCACCCGCCGGCCTGGGGTTCCGGCCGAGGCGCCCACCAGCCGGAGGGACTAGAGCAGGCCTGGGGAGGGGGTCGTCGCGCGTGCGCACGTCGCGCGACCGCATGCTGGGAGTGCTGGGCATTTCGAGAAACGGCTGGGCGCGTGCCGGGTGGGCGTAGGAGGGGCCCTACTGCGCGTGCGCATCTAGACCCGAGCCGCGGGAGGAGGCGGCAGCGGCGGCGGCGGCGGCGGCAGCGGCGGAGGGGGCGGGTCGCGTCCGGCGCCACGTCCGCAGCCAGAGGCCGCTGCATCCTCCGTAGCCTGCGGAGCTTTCTGGATCCTCAGCTTGAAGAGGCGCCACCGGAGCCCGCAATTGCCCGGGGTTTGTGCCAGCCGTTCAGGCCACCTCGGCCCTCCTCGGCGCTGCCCGGCCCCGGCTGCAGGCGCCGGCCTCCGACTCCGCGGTAAGGCGGGCTGAGAGGGCGGGGGGCGCCCTCCCGGCTTCCTGCCCTTCTCTGTGTCTCCTTCTTCCGTTAGCTTCGCTGTACCTCGCTGCCCCTTTCCGTGGGCCTGGCTGCCCCGAGGGGGCCCTTTTGGGGAATCTGAGCGGGCAAGGGGGAGGGGCGGGACGGTGTTTGGAGCCGGTGGAGGTTTGGTGGTGGGGTTATTTCTCTTTACGTGTCCCTGACTCCCCCGCCGTGGTTCGAGAGTGGGGACTCCCCTTGGGAGCCTCCGCCTGATGTCTTAGTTGCTCTGGGTATCAGGCCGGAAGACTGGGGGTGAGAGGCGTGGGCAGCGTGGGAGAGGAGGGGGATGCAGCTGAGGGACCGTGTGCTGGGCTTCCCCGCCCCACTGACAGCTGACCTGTTGATAACCCACGTTCTTGTGTTCAGGCACACAAGCCTTGGTCCCCAGTAGACATTCTCAGTGCTCTTTCCAGGTAGGAAGCCGTACTCTCAACGCCTAAACTAAAACTGAAATTGTGGGAATGGAGAGGCGCTCCGGCAGGGCCAGGAGGTGAAAGGGGACCGCTGGAGCACCCATCAGTGCCATCTTTGTCTCCGAGTTTAAATTAAAACCGTGCCTGCTAATGCACACGCAGCTTCAAGACTGGTCCCTAAGCTCCCACTTCGTCAGATCCCTTCTCATGAAACAGGCCGCGTCTTCTATGTCAGACAGAGATTCTGGAACCTTACCGGAGTGGGGAGTGTGCTGGGTGTACAACGTGGAGCGGAGGGAGGTGGTGCTGCCCAGCTCTAGCCACGGCTTCTCCAGGGTCACTTTCTTCCTCCGCTGCCACGTCACTCCCTCTGCTAAAGAAAAAAAAAAAAAGACTTGTTAGTGCCTAGAGAGATCAGTGGGGGAAGAAGGGACTGCTGGGAAAGGTTTCGGAACACCTAGAGAAAGGAGAGTTTTTATTTGATTTATTATGCCCTTATGAACACTTGCGTTAATTCCAAATGAAAATACTATCTGTGATTATTTGCTGTATGATATTGTTTAACCTTTAGACATTCCACTGGCGTGAGTGCTCTTAAGCAGGAATATTGATAACGCATCAACAGGTATAAGGGTGTGTGTATGTGTCCATTCATGCTTTTTTTTAAAGAAAGAGGGAAGTAACCTTTAATAAACGCATATGCATCCTGTTTTGACTTTTCCCCCGACTTTCATTTCTTCAGTCGTTGTTGTATAACATCTGTACCCAAGTCAGTTCAGCAAAAATTCATCCATCATCTTAACGATGTAGAGAAAACGTCATCTACATTCTAACGATGAACATCATTAGAAAAGTTGAAGTAGTTCTTGTGTATGTGTGTGTGTTTTAACTCCAGGAAAATTACCTTTCTTTGAGGATTTGCTGTTTGGCTTCTTCCTGTAGATCACTATATTATGTATAAACACCTTCAGGATAGGTCCTTTACATGTTTGCTGTGGCTGGAACCTCAGTGCCTAACACAATGTCTGATACATAATAGGGACACAAGAATCTGTTGAACTAATGGGGTATAATTAGTGAAGATGACTCGTGTACTGGTATTGTAATTCTGCTTAATATTTCATTTAAGGGCAACAGAATAATTCTCATTTTGATACTCTTGGTTGTTATTTGTCACTAGGTGGTCACTTAAAACTTTTACTGGCATGTAACTTTTTCTTCCCTGCCAGGTGCAGGGCATTTTTTGTAGTCTTTCTGCTGTTGATTTAATGGGTGGGGGCCATGTTTAAAAGCAGCCTGTTCAGGATAGTTGGTTAACTAGAGAAGCCTAAGAACAGTAAGCTGGTGTTTTAATATACACTGCTTGTTGTTGTATGTGTGTTAAAGCTTTCTATTAATGTATTTTTGAAACTCCTTGTAATTATTTGGCAAAGAATGTAAAACATGGGAGCGACGATGTGAGGAAGTTCCTATGTATAGAATATGTGGAAGAATTTAGCGAATTTGTCTATTTCTTACAGGGAAATTGGCCCTTACCATTAATAACAGGTACTTGAAGTGCTCTGCAGATAAACTTGTGCACTGTATTTTGTAGTTAGGGTTTTATAGGACATCTTAATGCTATATAACTTTGGTACACAAAGGAGTGTTTAGCCATAGACAAATTTGTGTACTGTTTTCAGACTTTGTTTTTCTTATTGATGAAAACTATAAAATGTTAAAGATATTCACAAACAACATTGATTCATCTGTTTTCCTCAAAAAAAAAATGTTTCTAAGAGGCTTTTGTTTACTTATTTCTATTATTGGAATAAATCACCCTCTAGGGAATAGCGTTATTAGTCCTTGCTCAGTGTATTTGCCAGCTGTTACATCGATGATACTGCTGTACAGGACAAGAATTATTTCCCCCCAGCCTAAAATGCTTAAAATAACTACTGATGAATGGCAGTATGTGGACACAAAGTCTGTCGCATTTCAGTTTCCTTAAAAAACAACCCTTAGTTTGTACTTAATAGTTTTGTTCACGTCAGGGCCAAATGGTAAAACTGATTTATGTACATAAAATAAATTATTTGTTCTGATCTACAGGCTGTTTTCTGTTCTTTGTCTTCCTTAGGAAAGTAGGTTTTTAAATAGAAACTTAGATGCATTGTGAGTTCCTACAGAGCATATTTTTTGTTTTGTCTTTGAATGAAACTAAATTGCTCATAGGAAAGTGTGTCCCCACTAAATTGTAAACTCTGATTTAGAGTAGTCCTGTGTATGCATAGTCACACTGAAATCTTCAGAGCCTAACATGGTGCCTGGCACATAGTAGGGACCGAAGTATATGTTGAACTAATGATTCAGGAGTTTAGGGCTGAAGGTTTGCATAGAATTTAATAATTTTGTTTAAGGGTAGCATTTAAGAATGGTCATTTGACACCTTTACGATCAGTTGTTACTTGTTCCTAGTGTGTACTTATAAATTTTACTAGATTATTTAACAGTTTTAGGAGATTAGGGGTGTGTTTGTCTTCACAATTTCTAATTTAAGAGAAACAGTCTGCCTGTAATGATTATAATAAGCAGGATGGTAATATAAAAAATATTTCTCACTTGGTGATAAAGTTATAATACCTATAAAGAGGCAATATCACTAAAAGTTTGACACGTATGTAGAAGTTGGGAATGGTTCATGTCAGCAAAAAGTACAGATGACATTACAGATAGTTAAGGATTTTAGCACAAATACCTTGATGAGGTAACTTTGTGTCTCATGATCAAATTAGGAATTCAGAAAAAAAATCCAAATATTGCTGCTTTTCCACAATTTTTATTATCCTAAGAGTTCTAGAGGAATTTTCATACTACATACTCCTCAGAAGGGACACATATTGTGTTAGGAATTTCTTCATGTTTTGTTTTGAATTTGTTAAGTAGTATTCTCATTTTAGAGTTGGGGCTAGAATATCTTTACTGTCTATTTAAAATTTCCTGAACAGTAAGGATCTGATGAAGTCATTTGTCCTCCCACAGTTTATGGCAAGTTGGGATTCAAACCAGACTCTGATCCCAGAACCTTAAACACTATGCCGTATAATTTCTCATGTTCTTACCAGGATGATAAATTAAAGAAATGTAAGTATGAATGGAAATAAATTTTACTTGCAGGTTTTAGGGAGTTTTAAAATTAAGGCAAATCAGTTACAAACTCCTCCCAGTAACACATCAGCTGATACTTTTTTTTGTCAGAGATTACTAATCTCTACTGTTACCCTTAAAATCTTAAATGTGTATGGGATGATGTGCTAAATTAAAACACCAGACCAACGTAAGACTGGGTACTCTTGATATATGGCCTGAATCAGGGTTTTCACTAGAGCAACTAGAAAATATAAATAACTTAAGCACATGGTATGTGCTGCTGGACTCAATGGGGTGCAGTGGTGTTCCATCTTAGATAGGATTTAGCTTTTAAAAGCATTGCAGATTGAATTGCATGAAGTTAAAATTATCTTTGAAAAAACTCCATTTCTCACAAACACTACCTCTGCCCCCCTTACTCACCATCAACATTTTTTTGTATGGATTACTGATACATAGAAGGAAATAACGGTGAATTTTTATCTGATCATCTGCTGCTTAAAAGCAGAAGGAATCATAAAGGAAAGGGAAACTTTCCTGACCTTCCTTCAACCACTTAAAATTAACCACTTTGTTCTGATATATGCTATAATATGTATGAACCTTGAAGACATGCTGAGTCTCTTAACAGGTCTTTCTGCCTCTGTTATTGCTCTTTTATTGCTTGTTCTCCCCACAACACCCAGAATGATCTTTTGAAAGTGTAAGTCAAACACATCACTCCTCTATTTAGTGCCTTTCACTGGCTCCCCAGCTCACCCAGAGTTAAAAGCTAATTGCCCTCATGGCCTATGTGATCCAGACTTCATTTTGATCCTTTCCCACTGCTCTGTGACTTGGCCTTTGCCACACTTCTCTGTCTGTTCTAGTGGTTCTTGGTAAGATCCCATCTCAAGACCTCTGCTCTTGAAGTTTGTCCCCACTTCAGGGCTCTTCACCCAAATATTTTTTATCTGTACTTCCTTTGTGATGTCACCACAGTGAGGCCTTCACAGACTAACCTATTTAAAATATCACACCTTGTGCCTCCCCATCCCTGTTTCCCATAGCATTTCACGTCATCTGACATACGGTATATTCTTTGTTTATTATTGTCTTCCCCCACTCTTCAGCACAGGGTGTTCATGATGGCAGAGATTTTTTGGTCTGTATTGATCACCGCTACATCCCATACACCTGATCCATAGTATCTTCTCAGTGTTTGTTAACTTACATTGTTAGTTTTCACAGTATCCTTCCCCCCCAGCTTTATTGAGATGTAATTGACATACAGCATTATGTAAGTTTAAGGTGTACAAGGTGATGGTTTGATGCAAAAATGTATTGCAGAAGGTTTATGACAGTAAGGTTAAATACATCCTTCACCTCATAAAACATTATGATCTACTCTCTTAGCAACTTTCAAGTATACATCACAATGTTAACTATAGTCACTATGCTGTACATTAGATCCTTTGTATCCTTTGACCAGTATCTCCTCATTTCCCCAACTCCCCTCCCCTCATCCCTGGCAACTACCAATCTATTCTCTGTTGGAGTTCAACTATTTTACATTTCACATATAAGTGAGATCATACTGTTAGGCAGAAAGATAGACATGAGCAGCCAGGGAAGGGGAAGATAAGTTTCGAGGCAAAGAAAACACTGCCCAAACTCTGCCCACATAGGGGAGTCTCATGTGAAGACAACAACGGCTTTGCAGGGAGGTAACTTCTTTGCTTTTTGAGACCAGGCCACGCTGGTCCCAACCTGATCCCTATGTGGGTGCAATTGAACAAAACTATGAACTGCCCAAAACATGCCTCATCATGGGAAAGGACATGCACACTGAGAGGGATGGCTAGATAGTTGGACCTGTCAATCAGATAACTGCACCTTGTCAATCATAGAATCGCCTCCTAGCCGGAATGCAATATAGAGGCCTCTTGCCTAATGGATCGAGGCCTTTGTCTACCTGGACCCCAGCCCATCCTCCCATGGAGTGTATTCAAATAAAACTTATGCTCTGCTTCCCTACTGTGTCTGTGCCTTTGAATTCTTTGTTTCCCCAGGGACAAGAATGGAGAACACTTAACCAGTAACAAAAGTATTTGTTAACACAAAGTAGTAAAGAAACAAGATGGTGAAGTAGTCTTGTGATGGGTGTTTTAAAATGTTTATCTGAATAAAGTTGATTAAGTCTTGTGCATGTGATAACACATTTTGAGGTAAAAATGAAATGTGTATTGTTTTTAGGAGATCATGAATCAGGCAGATAAAAATCAACAAGAAATTCCACCATACCTTAGTGATGAACCACCAGAAGGTAAGTATGCATCTGTAATAAGAATGCAAACACATATCCTAATGAATTAAAGTTCTTACTGTCTTTATTAAATTTAAAGTTACATAACCTGTTTACCTTGTAAGTATTTTCCAAAAACAATTGAAAATAAACTTTTAGCCTCTAATAAGAAAGCACAGATACTGTGGGGATACAGTGTAATTGTTTTACTATGTAATATCTACTCTTCTTTTATTCGTATTCTTTTAAGACCATTTCACAAAGTAAGAGTACCCTTTTATTTGTGAAGATTGCGTGTTGGGTGTGAAGGAACTGTTTAGATGTTGTGAATACAAAAACTGAATTCAAGAGGCACTTGAGATTTGTTATTAACCTATTATTACATTATATCGGCAGCTCTTTCTTGGTTTTAGAGTGTTTAATGTAAATTCTTTTTGAAAATTGTGACATAATGTATCATTTTATTCTTACCTTTACTTAAAAAATACTTGGAAATACCAACTGCACACCTGAATGTCCTGATAACATACAGAAAATGACTATAGTAATTTTTTATTTACGGTTTTGGTGTAGAATATTTTTAACAATCCAACTAGTGATCTCCTTAGAAAACTGTATGTTTGTACAGGACAGTCATAATAGGTAAGAAAGAGAATCACACTGGAGAAAGGAATGAAATGACTGACAGACCTACTGGAGTAGCAAACATACTAGGATGTCTCTGGGAAGAGGCCCCGCCTGGAACTTGTGACTCTTCGGGTATTGTTTTCTTCCCACTTCTGTTACCCACTGTCCAGAATTTTCTTCCCGTATTTCTTGATGGTAGACGAAAATTGAAACTGCTTCAAAATTTCATAGTTAAACGCAAAATAAGGTGAAGGTAACTAGCAGATTAGTTTTAGTTTATAGTTTGGTGGAGGAATAGCCTGGAAGATTATTAGCTCAGCTGTTTTCCTTGCTTTATTCTTTAGGACTAGAACCCAGGAATTTTGAACAGAAAAGTTAGGGCTCAATGAGAAAGTTCATAAGGGCTTTGTGAGAAGGAAGTCAGGAAAGAGAGAAAGGCTATCCAGGAACATGATTATCAAGAAAGAGAATGTGCCTCAGTTAATGTCTTTATATCACAACCTGCTAAACACAAGTAGTCTACAAAACAGAGTGATTTATATGGTAGTAATTAAGAGCACACTACAATTAAAGAGACCCAACAGCATTAAAAAATCTGATTTAACCAAGAAAAATTATCTTCGTTAAATGTATGTGCACCACATATGGCATAGCAGGATACTAATGAGGTATTCGGCATGAGGCAGTTACCTGTTTTATCCTCAAATTAGAATTTTCCAGCTTTTTCTAGTGTTAGTGACCTTAATTACAAAAGAATTACCAATTATGTAATCCTTTCCATCATAATTTTGTAATTAATATATTTGGATGCTTATCTGTATCTTTCAGCTGTCTTGAAATTTATATTAACTATGCTTTATTACTCAAAGTTTCATTTTAAAATTTGATTGGTTTTTACAAATTTAGCCATTGCTATGCTTTATGAGCTATTTTGACTAACCAGTTAGATTTGCCTATTTTTGATAGGATGAAAAACCTCCAAACAGTAAAAAGAAAATTATCTCAAGATAAATTTGCACCTTGTATATTAGAAAAAGCTCAATTTTCAGACTTGTTTTCGCCATCAAATATTGTCAGTTTCCCAATGTTATCTTCTCTGATAAACCATATTCTGCTAGGATTTAGTAGCTTTGGGGGTCCTCTTTGAACCTATGTACCTGAGAATTTACATTTCTTTGTGAGTTGTTCCTTTTCAGTGGCTTATAGTTACCAACTGTTTTTCCAAGAAGTTTAGAAAAATAATACCACTGTTTATGTGTTGTTTCCACCTAAATCATTAGATCACGAAGAAGAAAAGACCTGTGTTTGTTCATTCGAGGCTGGCACAAATTTTTATGAAATCTTCCTGCTGGTCATAGTATGCCTGACTTTGAGGTTACATGCAGGTTTGAAGAGCTCTATAAAAAAAAAACTAGAAAGCCAAAAAACACAAACCAACCAAAGAGGACAAACTCATGATGAATAAATCTGAATTTTTCATGTTAACATTATCTTTTCTGGGAGAGTTTGAAGAGTTCTTACAAACTAGGTAACAGACTGTCTTCTGTAAGAATGATTGAGGCAGTGCAAGTATTAACCATAGCTGTAAATTCCCTATACTACAAAAGTGATTTTATGTAGGTGACACTATTTTAAGTGATGAGTTATTTTCCAGTTTTTATGTAACATTAGCTCTTTACATTATTGAGGAGCACATGGAGCAGAAACCCATGTATATCTAAGTCAATGGTTCTCAAACTTGTTGGTCTCAGGAAGCTCTTCAGTTTTTCAGAAATTGAGGACTCTGAAGAGCTTGTGTCTTTGTTGATGTTTGCTGTATTTACAGTAAAAATTGAGAAATATTTTATTCATCACAAGAACCCAAAAGACCCATTACATAATAATGTGGTTAACATTTTTTGAAAATAAACTATTTTCCAAAACAAAAAAAATTGTGAGCAGGAAGACATTGTATTTTTAAATTTTTGCAAATCTCCTTAATGTTTGGATTAGAAGACAGCTAGATTCTCATAGCTGCTTCTGTGTTTAGTCTGTTGTGTTACTGCACAACACTTAGCTCCTGGAAAAGTCTGCTAAAGACTCATGACATAATGAAAGTGAAAAGACAAATGACATGTATTATTGAAGCAGCTTTTACCCTGCAGACCCCTGAAATGGTCTTGGGTCCCAGGCCACACCTGGAGAACCACTGCTTTAAATGAAGAAGGTTGTTTCAGTAATGATTAAATTCTGTCAAGGAAATGAAGGCTAAATATGTTAATCTTTTTATTTTTTTCATGTTCCTGTGAGGACATAAAAAGATTTTTTTAAATTAACAGCAACAAAACTAATGAAGGAAGCTAGTATAGGATTCTGTTTTATGAAAGTTGTCTAGTCTTTAAAGCATTTTTCTTAGAGGTATGGAAACTTAGCATTGGACAAAGATGTTTTAAAAACACGTACAACTAAGCCTTAAGGGAAGAGCTCTTGTGTCTTGATCAGATTTGTATGTATGTGGCTGACCTTATCAAGCAACCTCCTGATTGTTACGATGTCTTAGGTTTCTTACTTACTTATTTGTATTACTCTTGTAAAGGCCTGTATTTGACATTCTCATGATATTTTCTCTTATTATTATTAGGTTCAATGAAAGATCACCCACAGCAGCAGCCAGGCATGTTGTCCCGTGTGACTGGGGGTATCTTCAGTGTTACAAAGGGAGCTGTCGGTGCCACCATTGGTGGTGTGGCTTGGATTGGTGGAAAGAGTCTGGAAGTGACCAAAACAGCTGTTACAACTGTGCCTTCCATGGGAATCGGGCTGGTGAAAGGGGGCGTGTCTGCTGTGGCCGGAGGTGTTACAGCTGTTGGGTCTGCTGTGGTAAACAAAGTGCCCTTAACAGGAAAGAAGAAAGACAAATCTGACTAGAATACGGAGATACACGTGCTCTCCCAGCATTATGATGCCAGTGGCATTGAATTGCTAAATTATGGACTACAACCAAGTCACCTGTTATGAACGTTTATCTTCTAAACTGCTGTGTTGAAAGTATTGATGACTGGCCTTCATGAAATAGAAGAGACCAATACTAGCACAGTGTATGAAGGTTTCTCATACTTAGATTCCAGCTTTTTATCTGGTAAAATGTTATACTCGTTCAGTTGTAACTGAAGATATGGTATATTTGAATATTTACTATAAGTCCTTCAGTTTAACTAAAAATGTGAAAGTTGAAGTTAGTGGGTGATCTTTACAGTTCCATATGTATAATGTGCCAGGTAACTCATCTGCCCCTTAAGAAGGGAACCTTGAACTATATAAACTGTACCTTTGATGTGCCTGATAGTTTCAGATGTCTTAGTTTTTTTTTATAACCATATTTGATTAGGCCAAGAAGCATTCTTTTCTTATTTAAGCTGTTAAAAGTAGCAGGAATTAGAGAAATTTAAAAGATAAATGGTTTTATGATACTGAGTGTTAACCATCTGTTGTTAGATATGCATTATATTAATTTAATCATTGATGCCTTAGAAAACATCTTTTCTAATATCCTAAATATGTGCAGTTCTTAGAATTATATATGGATGGATTCTTTTAAAAGTTGTTTGTGAAATTAGTTTTCCCTCTTAAGAATCTCAGGAGTAGTGGGGTCAAGGCATTTATTGCTCTCAGCAGAGAAGATAGTGCTTGTTAACTTTTTATTAACCGTCAGTTATCACCAAATTGTACACTTCAGTCTGGGTTCATGCTCCATAATTGGTACACCTCACAGTGCCTAACAAACATTTCTTTGCTAGTCAGAAGCTATGGAAGAGTTTCATATTAAGGAGCAACAAATAACTTTAAGGTCTTGAGAATTACTTAAAGCATCCAAGATATAAAAGGAATTCTTCACAGCTGTTTAATCTCTAGGATGGCTTCAATTGTTAGCAGTATGCCTTTTTAAAAACACAGTAGGAGTAACCCCCACAAATACATGGGGATTGACTTTTAAATTAAATGAAATGGCTCCATAGATTAGCTTTAATTGTAAAATATATATAAGTGCTTTCAGTGGTTTATTGGCTTTTAAAATAATACTTGCAGTCCTTTAAAAGCAGCTGTAAACTTTGTACCATTTCTGAAGTCAACTTAAGGTGGGCAGTTGAAGTTTTTGATTATGGATCATCATGAGTGTGTCGTGTCTTATTAACATGTCTCATCATGTCTCATTCATTTTCAAAGAATAAGACGTAGCTGGAATTAATCTTTTCGTTTTGTCTCATCAGATTTAAAAAGTGGTATATATATATATTTGGATTCCTCTTAACAAAGGGTTATAATCCAAGCCTGAAAAATCTTATTTTCTTTATACTTAGGTTTAGAAATTTACCCCATCCTGCACACTTTTTTTGTGTGTGTGAGGGAGGGGAGAAAAGGAGGTGATAGGTCAAAATAGCATCCCTGAGAACTTCAGATTAGTCCAACCCCCAAGGCTTAAATGTTAGTTTGTAAACAACTAAGAGCTTTACATTAATGATATGGATCAACAAATGGATAAGAACATCATTGTTAAAAGCTTTCATAGATACCAGCAGAGATTTAAGCAGTTCTACAAAGGTTCTTGAACCTTTCTGCTGTATACAAAACTGCAAAATTTTTAAGGAGTTCAGTTTATTGGAAATTAATGGATATTTATTTCAAGCCGTATGATTTAAGGTATATTTGTTGACATAGCTGGTCAAATGCCATTAGGAAAGGGGACTAAAAAAACAACTCCAGAGTTAATAGATGAACACTAAATCATCTAAATAATGGTATTGGAGAACTTGTTTCCTGTAATTTGAAAGAAGTAACTGCTTCATTGCTAGTGTATTTCTATTTTACTTTTCTGTAGTCATAGGCTCTGCTGTGCTTTGCACCTGAAACTGCTAACTATAAACTTTAGCTTACTCTACGCTTATATATTTATTTTCAACTTAGTTGTCTAAAATTACTTGAGGAAAAATGGTGGCAATTAATTTCTGCTATAGAAAAGCCATCTGGTATATTTTTTCTTATATTTGTTTTCAACTCTAAACATAACTTTGTTTAGGAGAGGCTTTTGCAATGATAGCAGAAAAACTATACAAAGGAGCAGTTATAGAGGGTCTGGTTGACATGAACTTGCCATTTGATATGTACAGCTGTACACTTGTATCTTTTCCAGTTTATTTTCGTAGATTAGCAATTTGACTTGTTAAACCTTAAAGTTCACGTCAAGAAACTAAGGTTGTTGTATACATCCGGAGGCATCTGTTATTCAGCTTATCTTTTGAGTGGGTGTTTGGCACAATGAGGATAAACTTGTGTGACCCACTTGAATTACTGGTTAATAATGTTGACATTCAGAATCCTGTACTTACTGAAATGTCAGATGAAAATAACTGATGATTGAATAATTTTTTTGTATTAAAGGAATGGGAAAAGTACATGAATCTTAATAAAGCACTATGATCTGCAAAAGATGAAATGTTTCATAAAGATCTAAGGAAATAAAGGAAATTACAGAACAGGGTAGTCATAAAATTTTTAGTTACACAGAGGTTCAGAAGTCACTGAAGCCAGCTTTTAAATTTTTTTGATGCATGAACATGACAAAACATCTCAGTATGTATTTTGATGCTAACACAACAATGACATTAAGTGTATTTTAAACAACCTGATATTTAAGATTAAAAACACATATTACTAGGTTTTACCCCAACTTGCTGAATCTCTGCAGGATGGGGCCCAAGACTGCAGTTTAACCTGTGCAGGTGATTTTGTGTTCTGTAACATTTGGGAACTGACAAAGTAGGGAGCACCTCCCTCTGTCCTCATTAGCTGTGGAACCAGCTTAGGTCCAGGAACCTTCACTGGACAGAAATGACTCAAAACAGATAGGCACCAGTTGAAGGAAGGTAGAAAATTACATTTACTGGGCATCTAGTTATTGGTCAGGTGCTGTCCATTAGCTCAGGAGGAGGAAGTATGTTTAATCTTTTTACAAATACTGAACAGGCTAACTTTCAAGGTTAGTTGAATTTCCAGTATCACTTCTGGATTAGATTTAAGTCAACATCTTCTACAGCTTGAATCCAGAAACACAATGGGACCACCCACTAACTAGCCCTTCATTCTGCTGTCAGCATTCAGTGCCGCATGTATGCTTACTTATTACTAGGCTGTTGAACTTCAGCTCGCTAGAAGTCGTCCAGGGATCATACTTATTTTGAAGCTTATCACATTTGTCACAGAAATGAATTTGGTATAATTATACATAAATTGTTTAAAGGAAATTTAATTTTATTATTAGAGCCTTTTTTCACAGAGGAAATAAAATTTGACCTCTAGTGTTTTATCTAAGTATATCTCCCCTTGCTATTTTGTTGCCTTAAAATATTTAAAATTTTATTCATAGGAAGATCTGAATAATAATGCAAGAATGGAAAAAGGCTGAGGTTCAAGGACTTAAAAAATAATGGACTGGATTTGGTGTAAGGGAAAATAGTACACTGAATGACCACAAAGGTAGATTTCTTAGAAAATTTGATCTTTTCATGTTAGAATTAGCTACAAATGTCTTACTATAAATTATATAACTATTACTGCCTCTGGTTCTCTGGCTGGGCCTGAGCACTGTACTGACGAGGCGGTTTTTAAAGTAATGGCCACTCAACTGTCAAATTTTCTTACATAACCTCTTGTCTATTCACTTTCCGACTTCTCAGTGACTGTCTCATACCTCCTCTTTACACCCCTCCTGTTCCCCTTCCCCTTTGCTACTGTCTCCTCTGTAAAGAGGCAGCCAGAAAGCAACTCTCCTTCCTCTCCCTCTGCCCACTGCACGTCAACCTGCCTGTCTTCCCGTGCTCTCCGGACCAGGACCAGATCTCTGCTCTTAGCCAGTCAGCCCACCGTCACTTCCTCAAGGATGTTAATCCTGCAGTTTTTCCAACTCATCCATTTCTCTCCTGGGTCATACCCATCAGCACATATAAACATGTTCCAGCATTTTCTTTCTTAAAAAGAAAAACTACTCTGAATCTCACAATCTACATTTTTGTTTCTTTCACAGCAAAATTTCTCAAAAAACTTTAGAGCCCCTGCCTCCTCTTCATCTCTTAATGTCTCAAGCCACTCCAGTTGCCCTCTTACTAATTCTACCAGAATCACTCTGGATAGGCCCAACTGATTTCTTTTTTGCCAAATCCATTGGTCACTTCTTTGTATCTTAGTTGACCTTTTTATGGCATTCAGTACTACTGACCATGGCCGCCTCTTGGCAGACTTCTTTCTCTGGTCAACCCTTTCTAGGCTTGGCCAGCCACTACTACAAATATATCTCTGTTTCTAGGCAGTATCATTTAGCCACACAGCTTAAATACCAAAGATACGCAGGTGATCCCTGAATACCTATCTCCTGTTCTGACTTTTCCCACCTCCAGACTTGGCCATTTGCCTGTTGGACATCCCTGCTCAGATATCAAGTAGGTATCTCAAAATAGGTATCTAAAAAAATAGAGTATCAAAGTGACCATATAAGGTATAATACATCCCAAACTGAGACACTTGTGAAAGTCAAAGAGGGAGTGCACCACTGATAACCGCGTCAGGACAACAAGCATCAACTAAACTCTCCAAGGCATTCCTATCACACTTGGAATGAGATCCCACCTCTTAGATGGGCCTGTGGTGTATCTTGTGCCACTCCCCAACAGAGAACCCTGCCCCAACTGGACTTGGCTGCCACTGTCCTCCTTGAGCAAACATTCCCATTGACTCTGGCTTACTCTAAGCTCTGCCTGAGTCTCCTCATCTGTGAAACAGTGGTACTCCATTCTCACGGTTGTAAAGCACAACATGCCTGGCATTAGTAGTTACTGCACAGGGATGTCTTTCACTCTAACTAGAACTGGACAGACTTTAATAGTGAGGGTTCCTTGCATTTGCTGAATGGAGTGAAAATATGGCCTGTGCTTTTCATAACTTTTTCATTACTTAAGAGAAGGCCATGCACATATAGTCCACATGTTTGAGTGTCAGAATGAACTGGTTGCATAGTTACAAAATTCAAACTCAACTGAATGTGAGCCAGTTTTTACTAAGTATTGTTTACCTTGGAGTAAGATTTAGAAATAGAAACTTGAATTGCTACTAAAATTGTACCATCACACACCCTTTTAGAGGCAGACCTGGATTTTCAGAAAGCTGTCTAAAAAGCTGCAATTACTTCAAAGGCATATAGATCATTTCAAATTTAATTTTACAGACAAGTTTTCGTAAAAATCCCTAAATTTGTTGTTGGTACTCACTTTTTGGCATGACCGGTAGGGGTGACTTTTCCTGTGCCACCTCTAAGCAATCCTTTTTCTATTCATGAAGTTTGAGCAGAAGTCATAATAAATGTGGGCTCTGTAACTGGGCAGCTGAGTGGCCTAAGCTTCAGCTTCCTCATCTGTAAAATGGGTAAAGTAATGAACGCACCTAAAAGTGTTTCATGAGAGAGAAAATGGTCAATTTTAAATAAATTGACCAAGATCTAATTCTTCTTTTTAATTATGAGTAATATGTAGTTCTCAAAGATGCAATCAGCTTTCTCTAGAAAACATGAGAAATATGCTAATGTTTCACTTGATGCTAACCTACAGAATCCAAACCACAGAAGAGTGATCTTTCAGAGCTGAAGGTGAGGAAGAAGGTGGGTCAGCATCCAGATGAAAAGGGCTGTGTGAATAAAAATGTATCCACACTTTGAATTAAGTGAAGGCACTTGTCAGTTTCTTAGACATGACTTGCTTCCATCACACTCATGTGCCATTTAATAGTACAGGAGTTTTTGAAATAGCTTAAGGCCAAAATTACCAACTTAATTAAAATAAATGCAATTTATATTTTAAAATGTAGCAAATGAGCTAAGAGATTATCTACTTAGAGGTAATTTAAACACAGTCAGGAGCTAAGTAGGTTCTTAAAATTACCGGTGCCTACAAACACCTGAAGCACTTAAATCTTTGCTACTCAGCCACTCAGTTTCACTCTGTGCTGCTGGAAAGAAGGCACATCACTCAGCAAGCTACTCTTCAACGTTTAATGGTGCCACAGGGTTAAATAACGGCCTTCCTTTTTTGGCCTGAATTTTCCCAAAGTTAGCTTCAAACTCTTTTTTCGTTCCATTTAGGTTTGCCAGATGTCCATCCTTTACTCTATAGCCTAAGGATTTCAGTTTCCTTATCCTGTACTGTACTATTTGTGGCGTTAATTCAAGAACCATTGGTATGTCTTTTATCTGAGCCATAGAAATTCCTTCTTTCAATAATCCCTGAATTCTCTCTTCCAAAACTGGAACAGAATAATATAAAAGGGCAGGACATTTCAAAACTAGTTGCTTCAGGTCATGATCTGTGCATTTAAAGGCATTTTTAGAGAAGGAAATACTATTCTGTACACTTTTTGGGGAAAGCTGAAAAAGAAATCCTTTGAGTTTGGACAGGAGTTGGAGGATTTCAAAATTTGTGAAACCTTGCTCCTGGAGAAATTCTAGTGTTTTCTTTATAGTTGTAGAAGAATTTAACAAAATAAATGGGTTTTGGCTTAATAATTTTAGTAGCCACACTTCCATGTTGACTTTGGAGCCACCTAAATTTAGATAACTCTCTTGAAGAATCCTTATCATTTGCTTATTCTTCTCAATAGGATTATGAAAAATACTAGATGCTGTTGTCAAAAATCTGCTAATGACCACGTTTTTGAGTCCCATCTCTTGAAAGAACTGAATGTTCAGCTTCTGGTTTTCCTGGTCTTTAACTGTAAAGAAAGATTCTGGAAACTGTTCTATTAACTTGACCAACTCGTCCTCATTTTTGCAGACCAACTGCCAGAGTTCTCTCTGGGTGTTAATAGCAGTTGGACTGCAGACCACTGCTTCTGGGCAGCGTTCCAAAATACTGGCTACTGCGGTCTCATCAGCACCTAGTTGTTGTAAAATATTTGCAACTTCTTCAACAAAGGTTTCATTCTCCAAAAGTACCCATCCTTTTAATCTGCGAATTTTCCTGATATCCACTGAAAATTTACAGAGCTTTTCCACTGTACTTCTATTTTCTCTGTTTGACTGCCTATCAGTTGTACAGGTGAAGCATGCTAAAAACGGTCTGTACTTTGTTGCTGAAAGCATCTTTCTGAACAAACACAGCCTGCAGGGCTGGGATTTCACCAGCAACTTCCACAACATGCCTGTAATCCACTGGCTAATTCCCACCGTCCTGGGACTCAGAATATACTCATCATACCTGTAAAAATAACAGAACAGGCTTTAACATAAGGGGTGTTGACTTTCAGAACAGAAACACAAATTTGAGCTTTAAGTAGAAAGCATACAAAAAAAACCATGTAAATTAGGAAAACTGTTCCACATGGAACATCAAATATATCCTCTTAAATCATTTATGAACTAATTGCAATACACCTTTTCACAACTTAGACATCTTATATTTTATAAACACTTTGTCTACTTAAGCATTGCAACGACCTTCTGAAGTAGTTATTTCCATTTTACGGATCAGTAACAAGACCACAAAGCACTGAAAGATTCCCACACCTCAAATGTTATTTTGACACAAATTTCCTTTATTACAACTGTGTTGTTTTTCTCTTTGACATATATTACTTAACACACAAGCATACACACGCACACTTTTTTTTAATGTTTTACATTTTCCAGGTGATGTTTAGGTTGAAGCAAATATTTATTAAGAAAATGGAGGATCAATCACCTCTAATTTTGTATTTTATAGTAAATATTCTTGCTGAGTAACAATTACCCAAAATAAGTAGGTTAATTTATTTAAAGTAAGTTAACAAATGTATGCTTGTCTTAGGAGAACTATGTGAATATCCTCATAAATCCCGAATTAAAATAACTCTTAACCAGGTAAAATGAGAAATGCCACATGAATGCCCCAGTGGAGCCACAGGAAATCCTGTTAGCTATAGAATGGGGACCATACTTCTAGAACAGTCTAGCCAGCTGTCCCTACTTGACAGCATTAGGTACCTAGAGATGGCTATACTGTGCCTGATCCATCATAGCCATTGGCACATTTTCTTATCTCTGGTAATGGAAACATGCCTAGTTTGTTTTATCTTCAAAGTACCTTAGAGTGTTAAGTGTCTCAGGCCTGCCACACAGCGTGTAGTACTGAGCTATTTAGCTAGCTAGCAGCCTTCCCTTATTATTTATAGGTTTGAAGGAATGTAAAAAAAAAAAAAGCCATTTCCAATCCCTGCCCTTAATAATGCCCTTGCCACGTATGCAAGGACTTCTCACTTTCAAGGCTGTCCTAACTCATCCAAATGACTATTCTCTAAGGAAACATAGCAAGTAATAATGTTCTCTTTTTGGTTCACCATTCCTACTAACAGCTCATTGTTGGTGCCTGTGGTGTGTCCAAAATAACTGTAGGCATAGCTTCTGTTTTACTTCTAGTGGTTTGGCCTGAGTTTCCTTCAGATAATTCCTAAAGCTGACATGTAAATAGTAAAACATATTTTTTAACTTCTAAGACCATGGGTTTTAACAGGAAGGAGGAGGTACAGCATAGTAAGTTAGGGTACAGGCAGATCCAGGTTAGAGCCCCGGACCGCACAAGCTCAGGCCTCCCATTTGTACCACATGCTGGAAGGGGCACAGGTAGTTCTGCAACCAAAAAGCCTAAGCCCAGTCTGGCTGTAATTTACGGGGTCATCCTGGGGAAGTTACTTAGTGTCAGAGTAAACAAGTAAACAAGCAGTGATTAGAATAGACCCGTTTAAAGTATTAACAGTAACAACAATAGCACCATCTGTAAAATGGAGAGAATAGCACCTGAGCTTCACAGGAATACTGTGAGGGTTACAATGCATGTTAAGTACCTGCACGGAACCTGGTACAAAACAAGTATGCAATAAAGGGTAGACATTATGAAGGCATACCTGGAGCTAGCATTCCCATAGTAATATGAGTTTAGTATTTTAGAAAGAAGTATATCACTTACAAAAAGTCAATGAAAATTGTGAAAATTGTATTTTAGATGCTTTGGTTATCCAAAATGATACATGCTTATTATAAAAAGCAATACATTCTCACTACAGAGAATTTGCCAAATTCTGAAAACTAGAAGGCAGCGGAAGTCTTTCAAATCCCACCACCTATGCACAACTGTTCATATTTTGACATAGATGTCCAGTTTTTTTGTTACTTGCTCCATTTACTATACTTTTTAAACACATAAAACAAGGACGCCTTGTACATGAAAGTTAGGTTCTAAACTCAGCCTATAAAGTGAAAATTGCAAAGACTCAGAATTTCCTTGAAAATTCTGGCACCACACTCAATGCCAACATACCATCTTCCATTAAGTCCAGCGCAGGCAGGGGTTCCTCCAGGGTTGGAACAGATCCCAGTGTTTGGCTAAGCACCGGACAAAGCAGCTGGCTTACCTGTGTGGATTATATTATAAGAAATGACAGGTTAAACATCAGAACCACACTGACCATGGCAAGATGTTCCTGCTCAATGAGGCTAAGAGAAAAGCAGGCTTTCTCACATTTTCTGCTTACTCGAGGAGAACTATTATGTCCTGAAGTGAGTTTTCTGAACAACTAAAGCTGTCTTTCTGATGAGCAAACAGTTGATTACAGAAGTGAAAATCATGATTGTGACTCCTCTGTGATCAATGCACTTTTTTTTTATGCTAACCACTGTCAGTAATGTTGGCATCAAAAACACTCTTAACACTTAAAACAAGTGTATGATATATGAGATGGATACACTGTAATTTTGTAATTTATTCCCTAACATTGAGCATTTAGGCTATTTGTAATTTTTGCTATATGCTGAGTACCTGTCCACATTTCATATATATTTTTTTTCTTTAGGATGAATTCGTAGGAGTAGAATAGCTGAAGAGGAAAAAAAAAAACTGAAGAGGAGATGTGAGGACATTTGAAAAGCTAAGCTGTTAATTTACTATTCAGAAAAAGTATCTCAGGAGACATTGTCACAAGCAGCTTAACTGATTCATCAGTTTTAATTTTGATACGTGAGACATGAATACAACACTAATTTAACTTCATTTTTATTAGTGAGGCTGAGCTTTTCTTATTATTTTGACCATCTTTATTTACTTTTGTGAATTTTTCCTGCCTTTGGCCTTTTTAAATAGCAATCTTTCTTTTTAAAAATTGACTTGTAGAAACTTTATACATTAAGAAAAACAATCTTGTGTTTGGAAATATTTTGACCAGTTTACTTTTTTTTTTATTGTGGTAAGATATTCATAACATATAATTTGCCATTTTAACCATTTTTAAGTCTACAATTCAGTTGCATTTAGTAAATTCACAATGTCGTACAACTACCAGCACTGTCACCCGAACTCTTTTATCTTCTCAAACACAACTCTGGATGTAATCCCCACTCCTTCCTCCTCTCAACCCTCTGATAACTTCAGTCTCTTCTGCTTTCTGTCTCTAGGAATTTGCCTATTCTCAATACTTCATATATGTGGAATTATATGATATTTTCCTGTTGTGTCTGGCTTATTTCACTTAGCATATGTCTTCAAGGTACATACATAAAGTAGCATGTGTCAGAACAAAGCGGTTAACTTTAAGTGGTAAAAGGGTCAGAGAACTTTCCATTTCCTTCAGGATTCCTACTGCTTTTATGTATCAGATGATCACATAAAAGTTCATCCTTATTTCCTTCTCTATTTCTGTTTGAATTTTAGGAATGATGTCCTTTAATTCATATGAAATTTCTGGTTGTGAGCTGAGAGTCTACATAGATTTTGCCAGTAGTTTAGCTTTTTCTAAGTATCTTTTTTGAACAACCTTTTCCTTCTGTTTTGTGATGCCTCCTTTATTACAGTCATTAAATATAAATTGTTTCTAACTAGCCTCCATCTTCACTCCTGTACTATTTTGCATGAGCCAGGAGGCTAATTTCTGACCACTGCTGCATACTTGGGTCTCTGCCAGACCATCCGAAAACAATCTCTGGTCAACTTACTCTGGCACATAGCCCACCCTACGCCAAATCTTCTCAACTCAGACCCATACCCTCCTTCACTCTCAACCAATGCCCTTGACACTAACGTGTACAAAGGAGAGCAACTTATCACACCAGACAGAAACCTTCTGGTCTCTCCCCTTCCCTAGAGCTATACTGTACTTCCATTTTCCAGGTGATCCCTGCTCCTGTGTTGATCCCAACCCCTCTGTCCTGATCTCTTTCTCACAAATCAGTCCTTCAGCTGTATGTGAGGCACCCATCTTTCACCTCAATGGCTCTTCCTCTCACTGCTGCTCCAGCTAAAAACCCATTTTTCTCTTCCCCTTAGTTAATTCTTGCAGATTCTTCTTTCACCCCATTTCCTCTCTTCCTCCTCATATAGATCTCGGTAAAGACAATGTCCATGTGATTTTTTAGAGCCAATGAGTAGTTTAATTCCTATCTCTTTTAGCCTGTGCAGCTTTTAGCACAGCTGACCACTTTCTCTGTGAAACATTCTTACTTGACGTCCAGGACCTCCCACTCTCCTGGTTCTCCTTCCTTCCTACACTTCTGACTTCCCTTTATCTGTCTCCTTTGCAGGCTCATCTTCAAGGCTTGGTTCTAGACCCTCTCCTTTTCTTACCTTACAGTTTCTCCCCAGAAGAGCCTGTCCCTGTGGGACTTCAGTTAGTCCACTTGGGCTTCTCTCCAGCTTGTCAAAATGTATCTTGTCACCTCCCTGCAATAAACTTTCCAATGACACTTCAGGATAAAGACCAAACAAAATTAAAATGCCTTACCATGGCCTACAGGCCTCTCTGTCTGGGCTCCGTCACCACCTGACTCCCCATCCAGTCATACTTGCTTCCTTTCAGTCCCTGGTGTTCTACCTGTTCCCACCACAGGGTCTTTTAAGACTGAAGGCTGTTCCCCATGCCTAAAATGCCCCTAACTCTTAGGTCTAAGGGAAACCTCCCTGATCTTCATGGATAGAAGACGACCTCTGTCCCCATTGTAGGCTCTCATAGCACCATGGACCACTCCTCTGCGTCACTTGTCATAGCTGCAGCTGTTCATGTGTTATTTCTGTCTTACCCTCCAAAAGGGCAGAGGCTGGTCACCATGTTCCAATGAATTGCTTCCCTACCCTTCCCCTGGCTGGCACTGAATAACCTGCACTAGACTGCAAGCACTGTGAGGGCAGAGTCTCAGGGCTGTTCTGCTTTATCCCTGTCCTCAGAAAAGAACTGGGTCCAATCAGTTTTTGTCAACTGAAATTGAATGAACAAACCAAGTTCAGGAAGCAACTTAATGTAGTGGGTAAAATTGTGGGCTGCCTGGGCTTAATTCCTGGTCATTAGTTGTGCTGAGACTTGAGGAAGTCACTTCACCTCTCTATGCTTCAGTTTGAGAATCAGGAAAATGGGAGACACTACATCCTGGTGACTGAAAAGAAGTTAATACCATAAATCACTTGTATTCAGATGCCTCATGAAATCATCACAAGAACCCATTTAAAAAATGTCTTAACGGGTAAATAGGTAAAGCAACTTGCCCAAGGTTGGTCAGCTAATAAAGTGCAGGCCTTGGAGTCAAACCCAGCAGCTTGGCTCCGGAGTCCAGCTTTTAACGCTATTAAATTACAATGTGGGCTATTCTCTGATACTTCAGGTTGCTTAAGCATTTCTGAGGAGTGAAATGCACTTCCGTAATATGCACAATTTTCATACTTAATATGGTCACCTCTACAACTTCATTAAGATGTAGTTTTATAACATGTACGATCTTCTGCAGTTTCAAATTAACCCCAATGTTTATAAACAAGGATAAACGAGGGCCCAAGTAAGAGAATGTCACGGAGTGACTTCTGAAAGCCACAGGTCCATCACGTGAAGTCTGTACTTTTCCAGACAGACTTTCGACCTGCGGCGCCCAGCGGCACCCAGGACAGGCAGGAGGAGGCGAACGGCAGGCGGGGAGTCTGGTTTCGCGGTGAGCGTCCTCCCGACCGCCACCTCTTGGCTGCGGCGCTGCTGGTGAGGATCACCGTTGGGGCAGAGGGGCGGCGCGACTCACCTGTCGGCATCGGTTCTGTACAAGGCCCAGGACTCCTGGGTCTCTGGCTTCGTTCTTCCCACCCACCTCCAGCTCAGGATCCCCGCGGCCCGCCGTGTTCCTGAGCCCCAGAAACTGCGGCCAAATCCCGGGAGCAGGTCCCACGTTTCCCGAAAACTCTGCAGCACCAGACGGGCCACCTGCTCCTTTGCGCACCCAATCAGGGCACAGGAAACCCGTGTGCCCGCAGACGCATGCCCCCAAGCTCAGCCAATTAGATTGCGGACACAGGCCATGTGACCCTCCCTCTCGGCGGCTTGTTTGTTTGGGCGGGGGAGGCGAACGTAGGAATGCGCTTTCCGGGAAGCAGCGCACAAGTACCAGAAAGTACAACCTTTCCATCCCAGCGTTTTAGAAACGTTGGGAGTTTCCGTCATTTCGTTCGCTGAGGAATGTCACCAGCCCCTAAGAAAAAAGCAACTCAGATATCTTTAAGCTACAGTCATCCAGAATTCCCAAAATAATTCAATAGGTAAACTAATTTACAAGTGAAATATACTTAAAAAAACAACAACAACGCTGTGCCTCTCTGGAATGTACCTAGCCTTCCTGCCGCCCCACCCTGCAGCGGTCGGCCACCGACTCTGAGTTTGTAAGTCTCACTTCTGCTACTGCCACCTTCACCTAAGTACTTGCCTTTTTCTGATAAACTGCTGAGTGGTTTATATTCTAACTTTACCTGTGACGCCAACCTCATAAACTAATTTCTCCTTAAAGCCAGGTTCAATGTCTGTTCCATTTATTCTTGCACTTACCCATCCAATCAACAGTTATTTATGACACGCCTATTAAGTGTCAAGCACGTGAAACAGCAATGAGAGGGCAGCAGTGGACAAGACAACCGTTAATAAAAAAGTCTATACCCTATCCTGATGGATTGCTCAAAGGCTGTGAGAACGACTGACATTTGCACTTTAATTCCACAGAGCAGCAGCAAGAATCCTGGCTCCTTGTCTCAGGATCAACTTTGATCTCCGGGATATTCTAGAATTAACTGAGTAGCTAATACATATGGGGTGTGGGAATGCTTGCCCAGTAACCCTTTTCCTTCTGAGTTACCCTTACACAAAAACCCTATTATCATGGCTTTATTCAACACTTTTTCCTGAAATACAAGGATTTGGGTTCTAGACTAGCCCAAATGTTTTACCTGCATTTAAGAAAAGGGAACTGAACAGTAGAATACAGAGAAGGAAGTTTAGGAATGTAAACTCAGGCCTTGGAACTGCAGGTTGCAGTTAGGAAGGAGGGAGCTGAGATGTGCACTAGGGTGCTGGCTGCTTATACCAGGGCTTTATAAAATTTTGCATATGATCCTGTGCATTGTAATCAATACTTGAAATTCACTAACTCAACCATGCCAACTGTATTAAATAAATGCTACCCAAAGTAGTTTCTATCCCAAGTATTTAGTGCATTCCTGGGACCATACAACCAGAAAGAATACTTGGATGGGGAAATGGGGAAAAGAAGTATAGTACGCATATTATCTATAAGAAAATTACAAACATGTTTGAAATTGTGGCAAGATCCCTACTTTTCTAGTATGTATTACATAAAAACAATACTGTTAAATTAAAAATAATACTGTTGCCAGTCTTACATCCCAAATTCATTAATTTCTTTAAGTGAATGTGAAAAACGTAACAACTTTGCATAGATTCATTCAAAACTTTTGTTCCCTCAACTCAGTTTTCCAAGTTGCCAGCACAGTTTCTGCTAATAAGAGCTCAAAAAATATTTGCTGACTGAATAAAAGGTCGGCAACAGCAGGATTTTTAGAACGCTAACCTGTCTAGTTAGGAGAGAACACTGTATTCACACATAATGCATCTGCTCAATTAGAGTACATTTATTGGTACTTCTTTCTTTTTCACTGATTTTAGTCACAATTTAGACCAAACTGAAAGAGCTTTCCAAAAAATCCCCTAAAAAAACACACAATGCCCCTACATTTAAATGTAAAAATATCAGTGCCTATGATGAAATAGTGTTCTTTTACTAAAATACTTATTCACATTAGAACTGAAGCTTTCACTCCTCTGGACGGTGATGGTTAATCCCAGGTCTATCAGTTTCTCAGTTCTGTATACCACAATCAGGTCCAAAGAGCAGATGGGAAGTACAGGTATCATGAAAAATAATTAAACAATTACTCCCTTAACAGTGATGAAAGAAGATAAGGCACATTTTTTTTTCTTTTCTCAGTAATGGAATTCATTGATCAGAATTAATTATCCAGGATACTTTTAAAAATGTGTATCATCTAAAAATATGTTATTGTTTCTGGATTTTTGACTGAAATTCATCTTGAGTTAACTTTAAATAGAATTACCACACTAAACATCTATCACTACTGAGGATGGTAAAATAAAATGCCTCTCTGCAAACTATGCACTGTACAATCCAGGGAGCTACGCATACGCAACAGAGCAGGCCTATGAGTAACGTTTACTGAGTATCCTACCACATGCCAGGCATTTCATATGTAGTGTGAGCAGATACTACTTTCATCCCACTTGATAGACAAGAATAAAGATGGCACAGAAAGTTCATACTTTGCCCAATCTCTCAAAATTCATGAGTGGCAGAGCGAGGCATTTAACTCCAGAGCCCACTTTCTTAACTGTTATCCTATACTGACTAACTCATAACTACAAGCCCCATTACCCCCCAAAAAACCTCTTTGGCTTTGAATCTTTCTTGAAATAACTATTTTAAAAAGCATAATGTATTTGGAAAACAGTATTCTTATTTGGAATATATTTTTAAAATGTTGTTTTACTAAACATATAGTAGCTGCTCCTTCATTCAGAATGGTGACATGTGGTTTATAGAATATGTCTCTAATTTGTAATCATATCTCACATACCAATGCTTTCTCCTTTATGTAGAACAAAAAATTGAAGAAGAAGAAAACACAAAAAACAACTACCACCAAGTACACAGGATTCCATATATACATATACTTTTAATAACAAGGTCACTTTAGCTGCAAATGAACAAAGAAAGGGAGACAAGGAGAACTTAACACATGATACTTCCACAAATTTTGATCAAAAAGGCATACATGAAGCTTTAAAACATATATTGTCTGTGTTAACAGAGGCTATAACTACCAAGTTCGATTATACACATTTTCTAAAACATTATCAAACAGTACAAAGTTAGATCAAACAATGATATCAAGAAAATTGTCCTAAAATTTTAACAAGTCTTTTAAGAAAGTCTAAAAACCTATTTTCACATATAGTCACAATTTAGACCAAACTGAAAGAGCTTTCCAAAAAATCCCCTAAAAAAACACACAATGCCCCTACATTTAAATGTAAAAATATCAGTGCCTATGATGAAATAGTGTTCTTTTACTAAAATACTTATTCACATTAGAACTGAAGCTTTCACTCCTCTGGACGGTGATGGTTAATCCCAGGTCTATCAGTTTCTCAGTTCTGTATACCACAATCAGGTCCAAAGAGCAGATGGGAAGTACAGGTATCATGAAAAATAATTAAACAATTACTCCCTTAACAGTGATGAAAGAAGATAAGGCACATTTTTTTTTCTTTTCTCAGTAATGGAATTCATTGATCAGAATTAATTATCCAGGATACTTTTAAAAATGTGTATCATCTAAAAATATGTTATTGTTTCTGGATTTTTGACTGAAATTCATCTTGAGTTAACTTTAAATAGAATTACCACACTAAACATCTATCACTACTGAGGATGGTAAAATAAAATGCCTCTCTGCAAACTATGCACTGTACAATCCAGGGAGCTACGCATACGCAACAGAGCAGGCCTATGAGTAACGTTTACTGAGTATCCTACCACATGCCAGGCATTTCATATGTAGTGTGAGCAGATACTACTTTCATCCCACTTGATAGACAAGAATAAAGATGGCACAGAAAGTTCATACTTTGCCCAATCTCTCAAAATTCATGAGTGGCAGAGCGAGGCATTTAACTCCAGAGCCCACTTTCTTAACTGTTATCCTATACTGACTAACTCATAACTACAAGCCCCATTACCCCCCAAAAAACCTCTTTGGCTTTGAATCTTTCTTGAAATAACTATTTTAAAAAGCATAATGTATTTGGAAAACAGTATTCTTATTTGGAATATATTTTTAAAATGTTGTTTTACTAAACATATAGTAGCTGCTCCTTCATTCAGAATGGTGACATGTGGTTTATAGAATATGTCTCTAATTTGTAATCATATCTCACATACCAATGCTTTCTCCTTTATGTAGAACAAAAAATTGAAGAAGAAGAAAACACAAAAAACAACTACCACCAAGTACACAGGATTCCATATATACATATACTTTTAATAACAAGGTCACTTTAGCTGCAAATGAACAAAGAAAGGGAGACAAGGAGAACTTAACACATGATACTTCCACAAATTTTGATCAAAAAGGCATACATGAAGCTTTAAAACATATATTGTCTGTGTTAACAGAGGCTATAACTACCAAGTTCGATTATACACATTTTCTAAAACATTATCAAACAGTACAAAGTTAGATCAAACAATGATATCAAGAAAATTGTCCTAAAATTTTAACAAGTCTTTTAAGAAAGTCTAAAAACCTATTTTCACATACTGACTCTCAAAACTTTGATTATCACATCAGAGTCTCAGTTTGCCACTTTAATTTTTACCATACATGAAAAATTATCAAAAATATATTGATGGATCTATACTAATTATGACTTTATATTTACATTAAGCAAATTCTTTGACCAAGTTCTTTATATACAAATTATCATTTGTTTCATGAAATTCATTAAAAAGTTAAAAACCACAGAAATGTCATTAGAAATACATTTGAAAATGTAACGACTTTCCATCAATGAAGAACATTTTGAAATAATTTAACTGAAAAAAAGTACTGAACTCCCCACCAATTTCAGCTGCAACAGTACTCCTCCTGAATGTTTTCTGTGATTTAAGGGGAAAAAACACTGGGTAAAATCTGATTTCAAAGAATTAAATAATAAAAATCTGATGAATGTTGAGTGATCTTATTTTCAAGAAACTTATTCTGTTTAGATGGCATTAAAAAGTCGATAATTTTTAAAATGTAAATAGTTTAACTGAAGAAACAAAAGTCTTTAAAAACTGGCAAATGCACTGTATAAATACTTTTCACATAAATTTACATCATAAAATAGTATCCCACATCCAACTGAAATAAATGCAGGCACGGCTTTTTAATACTTCAAAAAAGGGCCAACATTAAAAAAAAAATAAAACTATTCCCAAACTGGAAAGGACTTAGATTGCAGAAATATCACAACAAATCAGATAAATTTATAAATACTTTAGAGTCAAAGAGTTGGGGAAAAGTTCATAAAGGGATTATATTAATATCACTAAAATAAAAAGTCACTTTGTTTTAGACTCATGGTTACATAGTAAGGAAATTAAAAAGATGTGTTTTTCTGAGAAAAAATCTGAACATATCATAAGTTTCTCAAATTTAAAGACCATAAAATTTAGTGTAGCACTTTTCTCTTGTCTAAGAATTAACTGATTTGTAACAATCACTGAAAAATTTATGCCTCAGATTCTCTGGTTTAAAAATAGAGATTAGCTCCATTTTGGAAATTTTTGTAATTTATGTTGATTACACACTCCACTAAAGCAAGAAATAAAGCTCTAAAATATTTACCTAATTAGTGCTCTGTCGTTGGACTTTGGGACCGATACTCTGAGTGTCCTCTTCCTGACTAGGACGTTTCCCACTGCTGAGGCCAGTGCCCATGGAGCTTCTTCCTATACATTAAAAAATGTCCGTTTCAGATGGGAAAGGTGAAAAGAACAGTATGCGCGAATGCTATTTCCTTACCTTGTTTTAATAGGTGAGTCTGCTGACTGTCTCCAGGAGCATAATGTAAAATGCCACTCCCTTGAGAGCAACCTGTTTGTATTTAAAACATAGTAAAATTACTTAAACTGCAAGTTGTATGTATGTATTAATACTACAAATCCAGTTTTTAGTATTTGTATTTAAGGTCATTTATGTGTTTTAGAACCAAATCTCAATCTTTTAAGCAAACCAAAAATCACATGCACAAATCAGGAAAACTGATTTTGGGTCAGAAATGTTGACAGTTCAAAAGGCAAAATCACTAATAATAATTTTCCAAGAATCATTTCTTTACTGGATGACAACTAGACACTTAGTCATCAAGGCAAAACAAGACAACAGTGAGATATACGTCCTCCCTTCACTTCTCCCTCTATTCCACACTCCTCCCTCAGTGCCCACCCAAAATATATGTCCCTGGAGATAAGAGAATAAGGGACTGCCAGATGGGAGTTAATTCATATCACACAAGAAGACAGAGATAATGTGGCAGTTACCAAGCAATTATCAACCCTTCTAAAAGGAAACTATGTTATGGGAGAATGGGTTAGTCCCCAGATTATGGAAAAATATGAACACTCTAGCCCCTAGCAAGGTCATCTCAGGACCCAAACAAGACAATCTACTTATTTTTATTCTAAGTTCATGCTCATCAAGTTCCTCTGGGTAAAGAATTCAGCTTTTCAGGTACTAAAAATTGGGAAAGTAGATGCCCTGATCGGAGATGAGGTCACTGGGAAGAGATATCTCCATCATAAATTAATAAACTAGTGTTCTTTGTTGACATTTCAATTCACACAATTTTTTAACTTCTAGTCTGTCATTTATAGAAATGGTCAACTCTAATTATACTGAAAACATTGTTTTGGACTTGTAAGGCTGAAGGTAAGACTCTAGGCTATGGCACATTCTCTCCTTAGTGGTGGTGCCTACTCCTGGTTTTACCATCTAGTAGTAACAGTTTCCACACATTATTGTACAAAACTATTTAAACCTTCATATAACAATGTGAATGTACTTAGACTGAATTGCACATTTGAAATGGCTAAAATGCTAAATTTTATGTTATGTATATATTATAATTAAAAAAACAAATACCGTTTCAATTATTGTATTTATTCACAACTTACACATTTGTTGAGTGCCCATTAATACTAGAGACTATATACCATGTATAAGGAATACAAATATTACTGAGGCTTGAGGTCTGTCTTCAAGAGGGTCAGTACAAATTAAGTGTTATTAGTGCTGAGATGTAAGTTGACACAGGATACAGTGGGGACACTGAGAAAGGAAATATCAATTTTACTGGAAAATTCAGAGAGGTGGCCCTTAGGCCAAGTCACCTCAGTTTCATTTTCTCAACTTCATCAATTCTATTCCTCTTCCAGTTCTAAGATAAATGCAAAAAATCTCATAAAGAAAATACTGAGTGAGAGCAGCCAGACATAGAAAAAGAGTACAAATTATATGACTCTATATATAGAGTTCAAAATGGGCAAAACTATAGTATTAGAAGTTAGGAGAGTGATTACATTTGGGGAAGAGAGGGTAAATTAAATAAGCTCAATAATAAATGTATTAGGAGATATCTTAAAATGGTATTTTATTTCTTTAGAAAGCTAAATGACAAGCGGGCACTTAGGATCTTCCGAAGTCCCTAAATTCATGAATTTATAGCCTATAACTTCCCCGTAAAAATGTAGTAAATTATATTTTCATGAGGGTAACAGTATAAAAGACAACGAGTAGAGAACAGAGCTCTGTTTATCAATTGGCTTATGACTAGCTTAGTCACTTGAAAAAATTACAGTTTCCATATTCTTATGTCTTCAGGGACATTATAGCAGTTAAATATCAAATGTTATGATTATACAAGATAAGAATCTTAGAGTGAAAGCAACTTTAAAGAAAATTTCCTGTTTAAAAAAAACCCTATGTTTTGTAAGGGCAGAAAGTTTATATGATCACTTTCCCTTATATGTTACACTGCCAGTGGCACCAAAAAGATTTTTCATTTATAAAATTCTAAGTCAAAGATACTGTGGGGGGAAAATTGCATAGAAAAGGTATTCAAAGGAAATATACCAAAATTTTAATAGTGACTGTCTCTACTGGATGGAATTGTGCATGATTTTTGTTTTTCTTTTCTATTTTTCTGAATTTTCTAAATTCTCTATAATGAATAGTTGTTTTTTCTCTTTAAGTAGTTTTGAGGTATAATTCACATACTATGAAATTCACCTATTTTAAGTATAGAATTCAATGATTTTTAGTAAACTTACAGATTGGTATAACTATTACCATAATCTAGTTTTAGAACATTTCCATCACCCAAAAAGATCCCTCATGTCCATTTGTATTCATTCCTCCTTCCTACCCATAAGCCTAAGGTAAACACTAATCTTTGTTTCTCTTTTAAATTTACTAAGTCTTTTTGAAAGACACGCCTTTTCTGGATAGTTCATATAAATGGAATCATGCAGTATGTGGCCTTTTGTGACTAGCTTCTATAATTTAACATAATATTTTTGAGGTTTATCCATACTGTAGCATGTATCAGCATTTTTTCCTTTTTATTAATTAATATTCCATTGTATGGATATATCACACTTTTACTATTAATGAATAAGGCTATCATAAATATTCACACATTAGTCTTTGTGTAGACATGTTTTCTTTTGGATATTGAGGAATGGAATTTCTGGGTTGTATGTTAAATTTATATTCAGCTTTTAAGAAACTGTCAAACTATTATCCAAAGTGGCTGTACTGTGTTACACCTCACCTCTCAATATATGAGCTTTTTAGTTTCTTCACATCCTCCACAATACTTGTTACTGTCTTTTTTATTTTAGTCACTCAAGTGGGTATAAAGTGACCAATTTACACCAGTTTGTCTAGGACTTTGGGGGGTTAGCACTGAAAGTCCCATGTCCCAAGAAACCCCACAGTCCCCATCAGTCAGTGCTAGTTGGTCACCCTATGTGGGTGTGAAGTACTATCTCTTAGTGGTTTTAAACTGTGTTTCCTTAATGACTAATAATGTTAAACAGGTATGTTATAATAGAAAAAAGTAAACTAAAAATTAAAAACTAAAACATATTACTACAGTAAACAGATTGTGGTCTATTTTATTATAAGAACAAAAAATGTTTCCAGATACATATGTATACCTTATTCCTTTCTTGAGCACAACAAAGACCATAAAAACAAGGAGGAAATGCAGTTTGTGTTGCAGAGATCAAGAATTTGATAGTTATTTAAAAACCTAAGAAAACTCATAAAGGACCCTGCCCTTTGATATGCCTTTTGAGATACTATAAAACAAAAGCTTACAACTAGAATAAGTATGGGGCATGAAGAGATATGCTTCAGAAGTATCTAAGTTCTCTCAAATGCAACAGCAGCCTGAACAGAGAAGTGCGCCACAGCACAGTCCAAATCCAAAGGACCTTTCCACGGTCATTCTATTTCCACGTCTACAGTGTCCTTCCATCTCCACCCAAAGCTACCCACCACACCACCTCCCAAGAAAACTTCCCTAGTTTCTCCAGCTCTCAATGACCTCTCCCTTTTTCCCTATTACATATGGAGGCAGAATCTTACGATTCATCACTTTTTGGTTTCATTTCCTTTTCATACCCCCACCGAGACTGCAAGCACTCTGTAGCTTTTATGTATTCCATGTCTTTTGAAAGAGCTACAAAGTGTGTTACAGGCAAGTATTTACATGATTACTTTCAAGATTTATTCATCCTATTATACCATAAAATATCCTATGTTTATGAATTTATGAAACAAAATTATTCCAATTAATTTGCTGCCATGATTAGCTTCTGCTGATAACTCCGAATAATGGATTTGAGTGGACCGAAGAGTATGTACCAGCATTAAGCCATTAGTCAGGGACCAGAGCCAGTGGCTTCCCGCTCCTCTGCTACCTGCCTGGAATCTTGGTGCTTCACAGAACTTGTTCCTCAAACTCACGTAAGGGCAGAAAAGGCAGGCTGTGAACTAACAAGAGATCTGACAGAACTTTTGAAATGATACTTTGCTGAACTTTACTTCAAACTGTAGGAGATTGAAAAACATTTCTGTAGTGTACTGCCATTGTCAACTATCAGACAGCCAGACGAAACACACTCCAGTCAGAAAATATTTATCTCATAAAACTACATAGGACATTACATTTTCAGGGGAGGCCCAGTGAGACAGGAAAGAGTAAAAACTTTGGACTGTGTCAGACTTGGATCTGAATCTTAACTCCTTACAAATTGTGGGATCTTGGTTAAGTTACATGACCTTTCTAGACTTATTTTCCATTCATAAAATAAAATTCCACCACCACCTTCCCAGGTTATTGTGACAATGCGGCAAAAATCCCTTTGTACTGGGCACAAAGTAGGTAGTCAAATGTTGAGTGCCTTTGTTCCTCTCTCCATAAGCTAATTGCTGGAGGATAAAATACCTGGTCTCAAAAGAATGCAGGCTATTTCTGAATTCAGAAAGTTCAATTTGTTAAAGGTTTTACTTTTAATACCAATTTTGAACATCTGCCTCCTTTTAAAAAAAAGCATTCCTCAAATGCTGCCTTGTTCTTTATCAAATTAATTAGCCTTGTGCTATTTTTGTTTAGGACCTTTGAAAATGGATGTAATGATTCAAGTTTCCAATACCTTCCTACTTCTTTATTTAATATCACATGTCCTGAGAATATATGAGGCAACTGCATATATTTCATATAGAAAATCATTACAGACCAGACTTTGTAAGGAAAAACTCATGTGCAAAAGCACCAGGGGCCTTAAGATGTGTAAGATAACTCTTCTGGCCATGTTCACAGGGCCACTGACCTTAACTAACTACCTTATAGCTGATAGGTACTTAAAGGAAGTAACAAATAGTGAGCATTCTGGAAATATGATATCTGAGTTTCATTAACCCTTAAAATTGCTCTCCTCATTCAGTCTGCAAGAGCTTTACCTTAGCCCAAATTCTACTATATGTTATGATGCTTGCCATCTCTAAAATTTCACTAATGGAGGGAAGGTGTGTGTGTGCTTGCATGTATGTGTACACATGTATGCATGTGTACAAAGAACCTATTACACAAATTTTAAAGACAGGTTTTTAAAAACATTATAGTGAGGTTCAATAAACAATATATTTGATTATTAATCTCTTTATGTTACTAAGTCCAGAATTTCCTTTTCACTTACTTCCACTGCTGCTACAACCTGGGATATTTTCTCCGGGAGAATACCCCATGAGGCCTCCATTCCCATTAGGATTAGAAGGCACTGATGCAAGAAGGCCTACAGGGAAAAAAATTTCCTATTAAATTATGATCCAGATCAAATTCAAGCATGGGTACATAAATAGCTGCCAAAGAAACACACCAAAGGCAATTATTACATTCATACCTAGTCCTCTATATCGTGAAAGCTGCTGATAAATCTGTTTCATCCTTTCAATATTCAAACGGCTTGCTTCAGCATGGTTCACCATTGGCTTAGGATAATTAACTCCTATCAAACATTTGGCTACTTTCTGGATGCCTTCTGGTGCATTCCAGGGATCATAGATATATTTTGCAGGGAAGCCTCTTAGAACAGGCAAATAACGCCTTTGGGGATAAGGAAGAAAAATTATTAATAAAATGAACCATAAGCATATTATAACTATTTATAAGCTATGAATGACCAAAATCAAAATAGCACTAACATGATTTGTTTACCCATCTCATCTCTGCTGACCATCATGAGATTAAGTGCTGCTTAATCACGAAAAGCCTTTCCTGGAATAGCTATTCCAAACTGGAAAATAATTGCCCTTGATTTACCTGATATAGTCTCCATTGGGATCTGTTCTTCTACCAAAACCAACAGGACAATAGCAGTGAAAAAACTGTTGGAAAAAGGAACTACAAGACAGCCACATCCAACTTCCAGCATTTATGCTCCAATCTGCATCAAGCAATAATTCTTCAAATACCTTCAGAAGTAACAGTAACCAATTAGTTTGCACACACATAATTCTCAAAGAAAGCATTTCCCAGGTCTCTGTAGATCAAAGGCAAAGAAAAGCTAGCAAAGAACTGTAAAAATAAACATTCCAAAGTTAGCCTCCTTGTCTACATTCTGTTCTATAATGAGTTGTTTCAAGGGAAAGAAACTTAACAGTAATATAAGCGGATTCTGAAAAGAATTTACCTTTCTATCTTTGCAGTGCTATGGGGAAGAGGGTAAAAAATTTAAGTCACTGACTCAAAAGGATAAGATGGGATATAAGGAGATTTAAAAGGAAGGAAAAAATCTGTAAACACTTTTAAGGAAGCAAAAGTGCTACGAAATAAAAACTTAGAAGCTTGGTACACTGACCTATATAAAGGTAGCACCAAAATATAAATGACCTTTTAAAATGCACTAGCATTATAAAGTTTAAATTTGGAATTCCTTGATCCAAAGGATAATAGAATTAAAATAACTCATTTTTATAAATTTAAACTCATTTTATAAGTGTATGTTACACATCTACCTCATGTACAACTTTATTAGGAAACAGAGGAGATAAAAAAATAGAATCTGAAGTGGTTCTTGGATGGGGGAAATTTATGATACAGACAGGAAGGTACAACACATAAATCCTGTTATGTATGCCAACCAACTGAAGTCACTAAATGTAGTATGCTTCACTTTACAAATCAGAAGTATTACTGAAAAGCTATGATGTTGAAATGAGGTGAAGTGATATGTATTTTAAAATTTGTAAAACAAATTCACTATTTTTTAAAAGTATCATTGATATGCAATCTTATGATGGCTTCAAATACACAACACAGTGGTTGAACATTCACCCCTTATTATCAAGTCCTCACCCCCTCCATTGTGGTCAGTGTCTATCAATGTAGTAAAATGTTACAGAGGCATGAACTGTACTCTCTGTGCTATACTGCCATCCCCATGACTTACCTATATTGTGACTGCGACAAATTCACTATTCTTAAGAACTCTTGGGTAAATCCTTTTGTGACAGAAATAATCACCTATAAATATATTAATCCAGTACGTCCAGAGCACTAAATCTTATAGTACTCTGGATGGCTAGGCTGGTTTAGCCATTGAAATGACTCCAGGTTAATCAAACCAGCTTTTACCATTTCTCCTGTCTGCTTACACCAGTCTGCTCCAAAAGTGTACCTGTAATGTAGGTATTGAATGCTTATCTGTTGAAACGTTGGACTGTAAATTAATCTACATAACATAACCTCTAGGAATTGTTTTCTTAAGGTATAGAGCCCTTCAAAATAAGACCATGCTACATCAGAAGAACACTTACCTTCATTCCTTCTTCCCAACTAATCCACAGGTCACCTCGTGTCAGGAAGCAAGCAACTGCATGTCTGGCTAAATGGTGAATCCAACCCTCCTGACGAAGCTGTGTCATGATGGCATCAATCCATGGAAAGCCTGTCCGGCCTTCTGCCCATTTTGCTAAAGCCTCAGGATTCTTATCCCAAGGAATCTGAACACAGATGGGGTTTCCTTCCATTTTGTCAAAACGTGGGTTATTTGTTGCTGCTGTATAGAAAAATTCACGCCACAATAGTTGCCCATAAAGGGAAAGGGGAGGAGAACTATTCTTCTTTACCTAAGATTAAAAAGCAAAGAAAAGCAAAGAAGTATTATCAATAATTTTTAAAAAGTGTTTTGAAAAATAAGCTCCAGTTTTAGATAATACCTTTTTGTAGAGATCTGTTAACTTAAAGTAAAATAGTCGACATGACAAGCAACCAAATCGGAGGTAAGGACTGAGTCCAGTAGGGCTAGCAAGCAGGGAATTTGCATTCATTCGAGGTCTTTCAAAGTTTGCCACCCAAGCCTGAAAACACAGAGAAAATTACACTGACAGTCTTTTCCATTTTAAGTGATTAAAATTGAGATTTTTATCTTAAAGTTACATAGTGCTTGGAGAATAAAATCTTATTATCCCAACCAGAAATAACATGTTTTAATAAAAAACAAGAAAGGATAAAAGTGAGTATCTTTTGTTTCATCTACCCTCAGTTAATACATACTCATGTGAAATAAATAACCTTCAAATTCCTAAAACAAGTTTGAGAGCATCTTCACGTCTTTTTGGCACTGAGATAAAGGTAAAACAGAAGAACTCTATTTTAGCTCCAAAGTTACAGTCATCAGATACAACCTTGCAAAGAAAGAATAAAAGAAATAAAAGAAAGTATGGTAGTAGCTAAAAAGGAAATGATCAGAAAAGGAGAGGGAAAGGCATTTAAATGAAGAGACAGTTGTTTATTTTCAAACAGGTTTGTGCTATTTTAACCATTTCTTTCAATCCTTCTTTTTCAACAGCCTAAATCTTTTGTTTTTAAAAAAAGATTGAAACTATTTTTAAAATGCGAGTTTGGAAATATGAGCATGATCTGTATTATCATACTTTTCTTTCCAAATGCCTTTCCAAACGTGTAAGTGCTTCAGTTTCTCCACCTGGCCATACTGCAGAGGGTAAGCCATCTGTATCAAAACCTTAAAAAATAAAAAGGAAAAAAATATTATTCTGGAACTGAAATAATTTTTATTTAACCAAAATTATTGGGAGGAAAAAATTATGAAAGTAGAATAAAAATGAATTTAGGGCAAAAATAAATAAATAAATTGAGGACCCTGGATAGGTTCTTATATATACAGGACATAATAATGTAGTTTAATATTAGTTTCTTAAGTATCTTAAGGTGACAACAGATCATATAGTTATAGGACACATAACTGATGCAGAGATTTATCACTTCTTAGTTTAAAGAGTTTCTTCTCTTTTTCCTCCTTTCCTTCCCTCTTAACGCAAAATATTTTAAGTGTAAAATTGGAAGTGAGATTTTCTGAGTGATTTAACTTGTAAGCTTCACATTTATTACTGTTTACACCCACCTAGCTCTTCCAGTGAAGGGACTCCATATTTCTCATCATGGTCATCAGAGAGAGGAGTTGTGCAATTTTCTATCACTTCTGAAGTAATTGTCTCTACTGGTATCTCCAGTGGTTCCATTTTGCTGATGAGAGTCTGGAATCTTTTATAAGTAAGAGGTGGTTGTCCACCATTGAGTTCTATGATCCTGTTACAAAAGTTTGTAAAATGCAGTAAGTATAAAAAAATGATGACATATCTTGAAGGATAAGCTCTGAAAGGCTTCAAATCAGAAAACAAAATTAATCATTTAAGACTGCCAGGAGAATATTAACTTTTTATATGACCAGTAAACTTGTTAAAATGGTTAATGAATCAAAAAATCATTCTCTTAATTTTCTAGACATTTGCTAGGTATCAAAAATATATAACAAGTAATACCAAACCTTTAAGACAAAGAGTCTCTATTAAGTACCTATGAGTGGAAAAAAAAACAAATGGCTAAATTAGCCTAAAAGCAATAAAAAAACATATGGAAATGTAAAAACATATTGCAACTCAGCTCAAAGAGTCTCTTAATCATCATAAAAACTAAACCAGACAAATACTGTATCAAGGAGCAATCAGCATGTCCATTAACTAGGATTCTATATTACTATAGTGATAAACACTTGCTATTTTTCTATTGTGCTTATGCCATTGTTAAAAATGTCAGCATATAGATCATATATACATATATACACACACACACACTCTCATATATATGTGTTTTATATTTATCTCTATCACTAATTGCCTCAAGCCATACTAAAAACAAAGATTAGCCTTGCTAATGGTACTTGGATTAGATATTATTTGGGAATAATTAATTATTCTTTTCACTATGGACATCTGCTTAGCATTTAGCCTTTAATAGGGAATCACTGGTAAAATCCAACTCCATCACTTTATGGATCAGAAACTGAAACCTACCAAGTCAAGGTCACATAATTAAGAGCAAACCAAGGTTTTCTTAATCCAAATAGTATACATTTTTCATTATATCACATATAATTGTATGCCAATTGTATGTACAGAAAGTAATCACCATAAAAACTATTCTCTCTGCTTTTAGTAATTTTGCTTTAGTGTAAAACTTTATACGTAAGGTTGTAATGAAATTTGTCAATTGTAGTGATACTGCAATGATACTATTGAGGATACTCATAATTATATCACAGAGGCAAAAAATAACCTTAGAAAAAATGTTTTCTATATGTTACATTTTCATATGGCAGATTAGATATTGTAAACAGTTACATTCAATTCAATAAACAACCCAATTTTATGCATAACATTGAGTATTCCACTTAGAAGCAACTGCTCTTATCCTGTTTTGCCTCTAATGGGGTTCAGGGCAGGCTGCCCCAAAATACACCACTTTGACATATTATTTTGTTACTTAAGAAACAGATGGTGCAAGGACACTCTGACTCTCCTGTCTCCCTGAAAGCAAGAAATAAATTCCCCATGTAAAGTATACCCTCCCTGCACCTGGACTGTAGGAGGTACCCTTACCACCAGAGTTAGGGAATTCAGGACTGAGAAGGCTGTATAAACAACCCCTGTCATTTCATTAAGGTGCTACCCAAGCCCAAACTTCATTTCTTGTAAATTCTTCACAGGTTTATTGTTTCTTTGTCTAAAAGGTATAAAAGCTGCCTACTTTGGTCACTTCTCTCAGTCTCATATTTCTATGAGCTCCTGTACGAATTAAATTTGTTTTTCTGTTAAACTATTTTATGTCAATTTAATTATCACATCAGCCAAGGAACCTAGAAAGGAAAAAAGGCAGTTTTCCTTCCTTACATCTCCTTCTTAGTATCAGCTCCCTTAAGTTAAGAAAACTGGTAAACTAGGAGGCAGATTTATTATCAAAAGATGTGACTTCTTCGCTTAATATCAATTAAGACCGTTGCTTGAATCAAACCACAATTTTTTGATATACTTAAAAAAGTGGAATGAAATTAACTAGTTTGTCATGTTACTTACAGATTAAGCTATATTAACTTGGTAAAATGTATAAATAACTAAAAAAGTAAAATAATGTAAAAGGTACATAAATTATGAGATTTCAGCACTTGTAAGGATGACAGTATACCAAATGGTAATGGTAATGAATCTTATTAACCTTCAAAACTCATAGCATATAGCACTTCCTATATTTAAACTTGATCACAGAATCTCTGTAGGATAAAGTATCACAAAGAACTGGTATTTCAAGAGAAACACTTTGAAAAATAAGACTTTATGTCATTGTTCAGAGGACTACAGTTACGCAAAGTAATACTACATACATTTGTATCTAGTCTTAAAATCCTGATAGACAAAACATACACACATGAAATTAAACAACCAAATCGTACAAAATATATCAAGGCAATTTATGGCTATATATCAGATAAACTACAAAATTAGTAGTGCTAAGAACCCAGAAAGGCAAGACCACAGTAGGCTGAATTAGAACAGTCAAGGAAAATTTTGTGATACTCTTAATAGTCCAGAAACTGAAATTCCAAGAATATATATCTAATGTACTATGTCTATAATTTTGGTATCTGTCACTGGGTAAATAAAAATCACTGCAGTTAAATAAAATGCTAAGGGTTTGACATACACTCATTTAATTCTTCCACAACTTTATTATGTATATATTGTTGTTTCCATTTTACAACTTATCTATGTAGTTAATATCAATGAACTGTACACTTAAAAATAGTTAAGATGAAAAATACTACGTTATGTGTATTTTACCATAATAAAACAAAGAAAAATAAACTTACTTGTCTAGGTCATATAATGTATGTGAAATTCGTACAATTACTTCTACACCAGCTTCAGTAGCCAGTTTCTTAATAGCTGCATCTCTCTCCTTTCCAAAGGGCTCAGAATCATACTCAATTGAAAGTTTACTAATATTCCATTCCTAAAATAAGAGACAGGGGCAAAAATGTATATAAACTTTAATTGTTTTTTCCATTATAACTACACAGGCTGGAAAAAAGTGAAAGGCTTAAAGTTTATACACGAAATGAATACATATAAATCACACTTTAAATATGCAAAAAGAAAATGAACTATGGTGGCTTTGTGATTTTTATCATATAAAAACCTTGGGCCTGGTAGTTCCCAATGGTGGGTTTTTTAAAAAATTATATAAATATTACAGTATATATCTCTATGTACACATTTTTGGACATTTTTCCTATTTCTCCTAGAAATAATTCTTTGAAAAACAATTGATGGATAAGATAAATACATTTAAAATTTTGATGGACACTGCAAAATTTTTCACCTGACATACTGAACCAATTTAGACTCTCATCAGTAGTACACCAAAGTGCTTGCTCCCCATACACTTCCCAATGAGTGGTTTCTAAGAACCTCTAATACATACACACCGTATATTCAGAAAAATAGTATCTTTCTTGAAAGTATTTAAAAATGCATACTAAGCTTGTTAATATCTGTTACCTTTAAAGAGTAAATTTAAGAGTGTAAATAAGATTATTTATTTTACATACTTATAATGTTTAGATTTGTTAGTATAATCCCATAATGCTTTTGAAACTGAAAAATAAAATTAAATTGAGAATAGGGAAGTACTATATATTTTTAAATTTTTTATTAAGGTATTATTGATATACATACACTCTTATGAAGGTTTCACATGAAAAAGCAATGTGGTTACTACATTTACCCATATTATTAGGTCCCCACCCATACCCCAATCCAATCACTGTCCATCAGTGTAGTAAGATGCCACAGATTCACTATTTGCCTTCTCTGTGCTACACTGTTTTCCCCGTGACCCCTCACACCATGTGTACTAATCATAATACCCATCAATCCCCATCTCCCTCCCTCCCGATGTGCCCTCCCACACCCCTCCCCTCTGGTAACTGCTAGTCCCTTCTTGGAGTCTGTGAGTCTGCTGCTGTTTTGTTCTTTCAGTTTTGCTTTGCTGATATACTCCACAAATGAGGGAAATCATTTGGCACTTGTCTTTCTCCACCTGACTTATTTCACTAAGCATAATATTCTCCAGCTCCATTCATGTTGTTGCAAGTGGTAGGATGTTTCTTTCTTATGGCTGAAAAGTATTCCATTGTGTGTACGTACCGCATCTTCTTTATCCATTCGTCTCCTTGGGTCCCTTGTGTTGGGAGATCTGTGCACCTTCGTGGCCTGAGAGACTATCTCCTTCCCCAGAGACGGGGAAGTTTTCAGCAATAACCTCCTCAATGACACTTTCTATTCCTTTTTCTCTCTCTTCTTCTTCTGGTACCCCTATAATACCAATATTGTTCCATTTGAATTGGTCACACAGTTCTCTCAATATTCTTTCATTCTTAGAGATCCTTTTTTCTCTCTGTGCCTCAGCTTCTTTGTATTCCTCTTCTCTAGTTTCTATTTCATTTATTGTCTCCTCCACGGTATCGAATCTGCTTTTAAAACCTTCCATTGTATGTTTCATTTCTGACACTGTGTTCCATAATGATTGGATCTCCAACGGGAATTCATTCCTGAGTTCCTGAATATTTTTCTGTACTTCCATGAACATGTTTATGATTTTTATTTTGAAATCTCTTTCAGGAAGATTCATGAGGTTGATTTCATTTGACTCTCTGATGTATGTATGATTTTGCTTTGAACCAGGTTCCTTTTATGTTTCATATTTGTATGTGGTGCCCTCTAGTGCCCATAAGCTTTACACTCTGGAGCTACTCAGCCCCTGGAGCAATGTTGGGGGTTGCAAGGAAGCGGCATTGGTGCCTGTGGGGAGGAAAGAGCTGTTTCCTGCTTCCCGGCTGCTATGCCTGTTTCTACTGCCAGAACCAGTAGGCCAGCACACAGGTATAAGCCTCTATGCTTTGGGTTTGTAGATGCTGTAGGCAGGGCTTCCATCTGGCTGGCCTAATGCCAGAGCAGTTTGCTGGTTTGCGAGCCAGGTGCAGGCTGGCTAGGAGGAAGGCGCAGCAGGCTGTGTATCACGGAGGAGGGCCTTGGAGCTGCGTAGCCAGCCAGCGGCCTAGAGCTCCTGAAGATCATGAAAGTTCCCAACCTGCTCGGCAGAGTGCACCTGGGCAACTTTGTTTACTTGTCCTTTCTCCTGAGCAGAAAGGTCTGTGCAGTCCTGCCCCTTTAGCAGCCCTCTTGCTGTTAGCAAGTCTCTCAGACTGCCTGTCTTCTGTCCCAGAGCAGCCGGATATGGATCCCTGTTTTCCACAAGCATCTGAAATCTCAGTCTCTCCAGGTACTCTGCCTTTCTTAGCTTTGCAACCCATCAGAGCACCATGCAATTTAGGTCTGTGCTCCCAGAGCAGATCTCCAGAGCTAGGTGTTCAGTAGTCCCAGGACTCCACTCCCTCCCCTCTCTGTTTTTCTTCCTCCCCCTGGTGAGCTGGGGTAGGGGAAAGACTTGGGTCCTGCCGGGCCATGGCTTTGGTACATTACCCTGTTTCATGAGGTCTATTCTTTTCTCCAGGTATATGCAGTCTGGCACAGCCCTCTTTCCTGTTGCTCTTTCAGGATTAGTTGCATTAATTATATTTTTGTATTATATGCGGTTTTAGGAGGAGGCCTCTGTTCCACCTCTCACACCGCCATCTTTAATCATCTTCCTAGGTTAAGTTCTAATTCTACGTAGCTACAGTAGTGAACAATCTTTGGTAAATTTTCACTAGCCAAAACTGTTACATTAGCCAAACCCTAAACATTAAATGTTTTTTTTTCATACCAGTGAAAAAAGGCCAGACAGTATTGATTTGATTCCCAACACCGGGGACATTCTCATTTAAGGAAAGCAACTGTTATCTTCTGCATTAGAAATAGAGACACTGCTATTATAAAAATTTGATGAGTGAAACAGCTGCAAGAAAAAAGCAGATATATGTTAGAAATTCTAATGGTAGTAAATAGGAAGGAATGGATAAAAAAAAAAGACAGCCAAGAAACTCAGCTTTTGGTTTGAGCACTTTCATGAGCTGTTGTATGACCTTGGTCAACTCTCAACTCATTTAATCTTCCTAGCACTAATTTATTTCATTTGGAGAAAAAGGAAGAAATAAGACTAGAAGATCTTAAAGACTGTACCAAGTTTAAAAAGACAGCAACTATAATTTTGTATTACTACTAGCATGTCATATTGGCATAGTCCTTCAGTCCAGAAGTCCTCTTCTAAGAATTATCCCACAAATATACTGGCACATGTGAGCAAAGATATGTATTTTGGACAGTATTACTTGTACTAAGAAAAGACCTGTGGAAAATAACTAAATGTTCAGTAGAAAGCTAGTTAAATAAATTATAGCATATCTACACAATGGGACTCTCTGAAGACATTTAAAAGACTGAGGACATAATACGGAACAATCTCCAAAATAAAGGTTAGGTGTATAAAGCATGGCACAGAATGGTATAGTGTGTTCTCATCTTGGTTTTAAAAAAGGGAGATGGTAACATACATACAGACAGATATATGTATATATTTATCTACACATACACCACACACATACACATTATTTTTTATGCAAGTAATATTTCTAACAAATACGCAAGAAACTGGTAGTAGTTTTTGCTTCTAAGAAGGGAAAGAACAGATTAAGGGAGAAGAAAGATTTAATTTTTCATTGTAAACCACTTTTTTCATTGGCTGATTTTACCATCAGTAACTTTTTTTAAATGAAGAAATAAACCCATGAAAATACTTCCCACACTTTAAATTACCCAAAATACCTTCCTTATTTACCAAATATCTATCTTTTCTGACAAAAGATTATTATTTTATGCAAAGATTTTTCAAATTACCTTGAAAAGCCTGGGAAACACATCTGCTGGTTGTCCACGAATCACAAACAGACGAGAGTTTAATTTTCGCAGATTAGCATCAAGATCTTCAAGACACTGAAGCAAAAATCTAGAGGAAAATAGTATTAAAATTCTTGAAAATATGTATTAGGAGATATAAATTATTGCAAAATCATGTTATTCTAAGAGTTGAAATGCCAACCCCATCACCTTTTTACCTCTGATACATAAATTACTATTTCCAGAAACCATAGTTATAATTTAAAAGAATTACAGCACAAGTTTTTCAGTGTTTTAATGAGTTCCTAAATTAAATCACTTTCGTTAATAGTGACTTTAGCAAAAGTTTAATTTGTAAGCATAAAAATTTATATAAATAATTAAATAAATTGATCTTATCTTTTAAGCTCGATGAAATGAATTCAACTTTATACAGAAAAGCCATCTAGAAAAATCTAGAATATTTTCTACTGGGAAAAAAAAAGATAAAATCCTATTTAATCACTCTGAGTAAGTGAATAATTTAAGAATCTGCATACTTTATTAGGGGATACTGTAATCATCTGAGAAAAAACATAATACCCATTTTTAAGTTTGTAATCTAATTAAAGGAACTGATAATAAAAAGATGTTATGTGGCATTAACTCTCTAGGTATAGAGAATGTCAGATTACTTTTTTAAAAAAGGGTTTCATGAGGCAGGTGAGGCTACAGATCTTTTTCAATGAAATAATAATAGGCTTACGCATGATAGGTATTTGGGGAAATTTTGGGGCAGTACTGTAAGACTGTTTACTGTGCATCTTCTATTGTGAAGAAATGGAGCATTCCCAAGAGTAATCCGAAAGAGTTATCACCCCTGCAAGATTCAACCTCATTGTTTGCCTCATGTTAATTTTGTCTAACAATTCATCTAGATTCTGTTCCTCTCAGCTGGACATATTATTTCTTCTCTATTTTGCTTCTTTTATGTTTTTGATTTTAAGGTTAAATATTTGTCTTCCTTTCCCTAGGCCATGTGATGTTTGAGAATACTGATGATGTCTTACTTATAAAGGGGAGTGGTTAAACTGAAAGAGAAGGCATAAATAAACTGTCCGATACGGTAGCCACGGAGACACATGTAGCCATTTAAATTTAAATTAAATTAAATTAAAATAATTCAGTTCCATAGTCACATTTGCCACATTTCAAGGCCTTTCAACAGCTACATGTGTGGCTAGTAGCTGCTATACTGGACAGCACAGGTAAAAAACATTTCCACCATTGCAGAAAGTTCCATTGGACAATGTTGTTCTAGTAAATAAGGTTCTTCAGTCTAGATCACTTTGTTCTCTTTGCGCATTCTGATCTCATCATTTTACTGAGAAAGTTTTGTTTATTTTTTACAACTGTAGTTACTAGTAACATCAGTACACCTAAACAGGTTTGATACTCTTACCCCTTTAGCAGTCATCTCTCTGAGCTTGGACAGTGCTATATTTACAAGGATGTTGAAGACATTCCATTATTTCAACTTAGGAAGTCTCATAGTTGTCATTAAATAGGAAACAAACTTTCCTATCTTCACACTTACATTTTATCATGTCCCTTTTCTGTTTTGGTTTGGAATCATCTTCCTCACTTTATCTCTAGCCCAACCCACCACTACCAACATGAAAATGTTTGGGGAGAGAAGATAGTTTTTGTTATAGCAATATAAGCATCTGTGTTTTTTAAAACTATCCATAACTATAAATAATTTATCATGCTTGGTGATAAATGTTTACTGAGAAGCATTAGTTTTACGAATTTGCTTAGCAAAAGAGTTTTTAGACATTGTACTAAATAAAAAAACTAAGAAGTCAAATGATCCATCAATTTCTTAAATTTAAACAGTACAAACTAAAATATTCTGGGAACATAATCCAAGGCAGAGATAATCCTCAAATCTCTTTTGTACCATTAATTTCAGTATCTTCTCTACTAGAGCTTATAGGAAGTAGCAAGAATTCTCCATATTCAACTTTTTGGTGGAAATGTTTCTATGTGGCACAAGCAGGTCAGTGATGACAGTAAGATGGGAAAAGAATACAAAGGCCTTGATTCATTCCTAAAATGAACAAGCTTGGGTTAATAATTGGCTCTTTATTTCTCCTTTTTTGTTCACAGGCTGAATAACTATTCTTAATGCTTTTCAGTAAACACCCTATAAACCAAACAAACATTCTACAGAATGACATGGGGACTGAAGCAATGTGTTATAGTGAAAGGAATTTTGTAACTAAGGTAATTTTTTTTGGCACTTCATCAAACAAAGGAACAGAAATTATATTTTTAAGTATGGGTTTTTTTCCTCCACAGATGTTACTGATGGTGTTTTTCTTCCATAATATCATGTTTTTCTCTCATGGATGTTATCATTTACATGACTGTAATTTGACATAAAAGTCACAAATTTAGTAGACTCAAATATAGGTATTTAAAAAAGAATACAGTACTCTGTATTCAAATATTTTTAGTAGAAAAGATCT